CACTTCGCGCGCCCACTCGCGGACTAAGCGTACTCGTTACCGGTGGTGCTAACAGCTAAGTGGCGGTCACGGGGAGACGGGGCAGTACACCGGTTGGTTTCGTCATACCTAAATTACAAAAATCATGATGCACTGGCTTCCACTACCTAGGACCAGAAGCCACGTTCAACTTCCATCAGAGTCCAGACGGTATTATATGACAAAAAATCTGTGTGCCCTTTTTGGGTTCTGGTCATAGCTTCCACCAGGCTGCGACAGTGGCCATCTCTTCCTCCTTCCTGCATTGTTTGACACATGCAAGGCCTCGTCTGGGCTGTTTGGGGTGTGCTCAGTGTGCTCTATCCTGACTCAGAGCAAGAAGTGCTTCCTGAAGTTCTGGTGTCGTCCGAGGGTCTTTAGAAAAAGCCGCAAAAAATGCAGACCCTGGGTTAGCTGAATAGTGGGTTTGGCAAAATCCGGGCCAGGATATTGATGGCATGAGACGTTCACCTCTTGACAGTTTTTAAGGTTACCTGTTCGAGCCATTGAACCCGCCGACCACTAATAATAGGCAAGTTAGCCACAGACCATGCTTTGAAAAGATGTATTCACACAGAAACCATCGGATCTGCTAGACAAGACGAGGTACCGGTGTGAATACCTTGATTTCATTACCCCGGAAACCAACTACGAGGGTTGACTGTAGAGGCTGCATGCAGCTTTTCCCAGCTCGAAGTGGTGCACGCTTTTGTCATTGATCAGGAGTCTGTTGTCGCCTGCTTGCAGTGGCACCTCGCTTTGATCGTACATGACCGAGCCTGAGAGTGCTGGATTGTGCCGCCTTATCCCGTTACAACCAGGAACACTTGGTGTCACAGAATGCAGGAGGATCGGGGGGATCAAGCAGATGCCGTGGACTTTGACAAAGAAGCTGTTCACGAGAAGGAGGAATTCCTACAAGGAGGTGTGTGTTTCAATCATATGCAGTTGGCCTTTGAGAGTGTCATATGAGAAACTTCCGAAACAATTTTTTGCTAGTTCACGCTGTTTTCAAAAATAGATGTTTCTTCCCACACTTTTTCATCGTCCCTTGCAGTCGTTTACCCACACCTCTATTGCAACAGCTGGGATAGGATCCAGTCTCAAAATCGATCACACCAGAGTGCTTCGTTCAGCACTTTTTAGAAACTGAAGTGTGTGTGTAGAGTACGCTTTCTGGGTATGGTCCTGAGCAGCGTGTCTCGTGAGGCACCTTTTAGGAGCGGTCCGTTCTTCCCTCACCTGTTCTTGTTGGGCTGGCCAGGTCATTGCTTCCAAACCACATGAAGATCAGATTGACTGAAGGGCATTTTCTTAACTGACGGGCATTCTCTTGACCCGCGAGATGTTTGGGGCAATCTATCATCCCTTCCCTGAGTTCTAAGAGCCGCCTTCTATCCTGGTACCGCATATACATTCTGCAAATGCTTGCTTCGCTTAGGCTGGCTTTGTACTTAGGATAAGTGTCATGTTTCCCTGAAGCAAACTCATCTTTCTTGGGGTGTTTGGTCCTCTTCAAATCGATTTTGCTACGGGTATTTTGACACAAGCCTTGTCCTCAACCTACTTTCGTTTGCTCATGTCTAATATTCTGGATTCGCCGCTCTCAAGGTTCTTTCTCCTACCTCGACAAAACTCCGCTTCTGCACGCCAGAAAAGTCAATCTATGCACAAGCACTTGGATTCAAGTTCAGTGTTCATTATTTCTTCTAAACGATTGTTTTCATTATGACTGAATTTGTCTGTACATGGTTGAAACCTTCTCATACTGATGCCCCTCCTTATCATAACCCCGGAAACTTGGATTAAGAAGGTGCTCCTCCATTGTGCAGTAACAGACGTGCTTCTCTGGAAGCGGCCGCTCCTCACCGTCCTCATGCTGGCGTCAGCAACCCTCTCGTACTACCACCTTGTCTTCCGCTACCCTGGGATTGTCTCGCTCGTGGCGGACGTGCTTCTGATTCTGACGTGCGCTGCTGGGGTAGTCAAGGTCGTGGCCAAGCAATTTGACATCAGGTGATTCTTCCTTCTCGCTTTTCTATTGTCTATATTCATTTCGAGAATGTGTCCACTGGGGCCTGTTACCAAACTATGTAGTGCAGGAATATTTTTACTGAAGTATGACTGCTTTGTCGATCTTCATCGCAGGGACTAGGCCTGGTTACGCCCTCCTAAAACTTTCTATGCTAAAGAAAACTGTCTGGAGATAGCCACTATCCTGTAGTAGTAGCATTACTGTCCTCCTTCTACTACTCCAGAGTGGGACCCAGAACGAGCTCTCTGGATTACGTCCATGGTTCAATCAGTCTTGGAGTTGTCTTCGAGTTAAACTTCCATAGCCATTTTTGTATATTAAACAAGGCCCCCGAAAAGACAGTTTCTTGAAGACTCGGTCACCTCTGTCCTGCAAAGGTTGCCACATTCAAGGTAAATCAGACCTATGTTCGTTGTTGCATGCGAATCTCGAGCTCGCCCTTCCAAAGCCGGTCTTTTGCTCAAAAGCAAGGGTGCTTTGAACATCAGTCTGCAGGACCAAGCAGATGCATTCCCTGTTCGCAGCCTCCGGTATGTGCCCCGGAGAGGAGTGTCCAAATCCTCGTTTTTTAGCCTATCCCATCTTGGAGGTACGGTCCAGAGCCTGACTCTTAAAACAGATTCTGGCCTTATATTCATCCGAAACAAGGCTTTCGGGACAAAACTTTGGTCCGCAAGATCGGACGGTTGCTTTTTTGACAGCCGCCTTCCTTATGCGCCCCGGTTTGGGTTGGTTTTTACCCATCGTTCGAGTTTTGGGGAACTGGTCCCAACCTGTCCTAAAACCAACCTTTTATGCGGAAAGTTTAATTATCCGAGAGATTCTGTCTCCCGAATCATAATTCACAAAACAAACCCGTTCCTCCTCTGCAGTCTCCAGGACGTTCCACCGTACGAGGTGTCCGAAACCACGTCCGTGTGCATCGTTGCGTCCATCGTTAACACACTGGGGGCCGCAGAGGGCGTCCTAAGGGGGGCCGCCAACGGGCAGGACTGGAAGCTGTACGGCAAGGTGAAGTCCTGGCGAAACTTGACTTGATTCATGAAAAAGAAACGAAATCTGGCTTCATTTTGTTCCTTAAATTTCAAGGTTCGTCGCTGCTGTGCTTCTTCGCCGCTCCTCCTCCGTTTTTTCCTGCCAGCCTCCAGTGGTTTCTTCGAAGATGCGTGTCAAGTAGCTATGATGGCGGTCAGTAACTTTCTGGCGGGAGTATCGGACCCGTTCACTTTTGACACGTTCAGCCTGTTTTCTTGAATTCTTCCTTCAGTATGCTTTTGTTTTCAAGGCAATCCGCTCGTGGGCGCCGCTCCTTCGTGTGTCTCAGCTCCTAGACTCCCTCTGCGAGGCGTCTTGTGAAGTTCGCACATGGGTGTGTCGTTTCGGATATTAAGACGTGAGATCGCGCTGCATTTCAGGGCTCTGCCTCCTTGCTAGCGAAGCTTTTGCAGTGCTCGACATGCTGTGCCGCTTCGCTTCCACGATTGACCACCGTTGAATGCCTATTGAACGGTCTTGCCTTGTACGAGGCTCTCTCGATTGCGTTTGAAGGGGTGTCCTCGACCGTTGATCGCCCTCCCATTGCGAAGGAATCAGATACAATCTTTTCGAAATAAAAGATTACAAATACCCCGCTGGATCTTCTGACCATGTGACCATGGGCCATCATTTTCAGCAAGGCTTTGCAAGAGTTGGGTTCAAAGTGGGTTTGGTCCGCTGTGACAAATGGTCCGAGATCGTCCCTCTGCTCAATCCTTGATCTGTCCTGCGCACTGCTCAAGACTGGACGAAGTGACTATCTTCGAGAGCAGAAATTGATGTCTTTTTTCGCTTCTTTTCTGACGTCTCTTCCGTATACAGGTCTGCGTAAGCCTGTACATAGCGTCGATTGTCGGACGGGCAGCCTCGGGGGCGACCGTTCTGTTCCTAGGCAAGTCTTCCTATCTCAGTCTCTCCCATCTCCGGGTCGCCCTTTTTCACGAATCGCCAGAGGATTTAGAGGGTCTCACAAGAGACTTGTTTCGGCAATTGCTTGTAGGTTTGGTTGGAAAGAGGCGTGCTTGGGTGTCAGGGGTGCAGGCGTGCAGGGGGAAACGGGGGCGTTTGACACGTCATACGTTCCTTTATGTTGGCTTTAGGCGGCTGTCTCGTTATTCGTTACCAAGTCGGAAGCGGATTCTGCACTATACTGCTCTCCTTAGTACTAAATCCAAGTAGCGACGCGACTGGCTGGAGAGTGGATTGTCATTGACGGTCTCGAAACTAGTGGCTAGTTGCAATCTGAAAGACCCACGTCGCTGCTTCTCTTACCTTCTCATTGAGGATTGTTATGACAACCTATGCTAGGAGACAGTCCTGCGTGAGTTTCTATGACATTGGGTTGAAGCTTCTTCCATTCGGCTTCATTGTAGGCTCTGTCATGCGGTCTTGCCTCTGCAATCTGCAGATCAAAGATCACAGTATATCAAGTGGCTGCAAATTAGCAGCGGTCACACAATCGCACTGCTTTTGCCACTACGTCTGCAGAACGTCGGGAGAGGCTGAAGATCCGTTAAGGACCGGGTGCGAGAACCCGCCAACTGTTCTTGATGGTCCAAATGCAACGACAAAGTGCTTTCGGCAGGGCCTCACGTACTCTATTCTCTGCAGGCACTTGGCTGCTGTTTCTGCTGCCCCCTCTGTTCAGATTGTTGCCATTACCTGAGCTAGCGAAAGAAATGGACTTGGCGGAGCCGCCACCCGGGCAAACGTACGAAGATGTGGAGGACGTCCTGCTGCCCGCTCTGAGTCGGATAACCACTCCCCGACCATCGCTTCAATAAGCCAGGGTGGTCAAGAGCATTGGATCTTTGTTGAAATTATCAATGTGCTGGTCATTTTAAGGAAGTAAACCCACATGCTTTGTCCGGTCAACCATGTCTTCAAAAAGGCCCAACCTTACAAGCATGCATTCGATTGTGTGCAATGTCGTCCAGATTCCGTCTGAGTTCAACGTTCATCCTGATGTACGATGTGAATCAAAGCGTGACACTCTGGAGGTTCATGACCATTCAATTGGTCCAGCATTCATGTATTTATGCAATGCCAGCCGCTATTGGCGTTAGTGACTGCCTGGCACTGGCGCGTGTGGATTGAATGACATGCATGTGCCATGGACTCAGCCGCAGGAGATCCTCAATGTGATCATTCCCAAAGCATGGCCGCCCGGGGAAGTTGATGGCGAGGCCACATGGCCGGTCACTAGCTCACGCCTTTGCAGATCAAATATCGAAATGGGGTAGCGCTAGCGCTTTATAACTCGAGCCTACAGTCTCGACGAGTGACCGCGCGGCCGTCATATAATTAAAGCTGCATGCATGGCTGATTGATCCGCCATGCAGATTACTTGATTGTACTTGACTGCGTGCGCGCCCATGCAGAACTGCTCCAAGCTTTTTTTGGGGAAAACGGGAGTTTTAATTTTACAGATCACGATGTAGGCTGCAATTGGCTCGATGAAGAGCTCTCGCGTTTGCAACTGTTCGAGTACCTAATAACAGCCAGGCTAACATATTCATGCATCCAGCCTCACTTTCTGCACATCAAAGAATTGACCATGATGAAGACGTTGCCTACTAAAGAATATAGAATAGATAGATATTGCATGTGGTACTGCAGATTAGGTGCATCATTGCAAACTTGAATTCGAGATTCTAGATCAATTCAACTTAACAGCTCCCACTCTTATAAGTGCGGCCAAGTTATTAGCAGTCTGCCTAGAAATCCAAGCCTGAGAAGATGGTCTTTGGACACAAATATCCGTACAGCTCATGTCTCTGTCCAGAGGAGCGACTAGCCCTCACCATTGCTCATATCAGCTGCTACTTGCGAACCTTTAGTCTTGCATGATAATCAATTGACTGTACCTAAACGTGTCGCTACTTAAGCAATATGATCTGCTACAGTAAAGCTGAACTCTCTGTTATCTATGCTGAGCCTACCAACGACCACAACCCGCCTACTTGCTGCTTCTTATTTTGCGCGTACACTGGCTCCTATTTTACACCTTACCGACCTCTAGTCAAAAACGAGGCCACTCAAGCCTGATATGCCAAATGAATGAGACTAACTCCAAAGCTCAGTCTTACCCTACAATACGAGGAGCGATCCTGCTACGCCCGCCAAAGACCTCCTTTTGCTTATTACTGGGGTCAGAAGACTGGGGCTTCCTCGCCGCGCACCGAATCACTTAGCAAACGAAAGAAGATATGTCGACTTGCACTACCGCACTCTGTCTGTGAATGATGCCTCCTCATGGCGTGGTCAGGGCTTACTTTCTTACTTGCGTACTCTCTTTTTTTTTCTCACAATTTGTACAGCGCTAATCTCTCCGCTGCTCTTACTGGGGCCGCCATCGAACTTGTCATCTGGTGACCATCAAGCTCTGTCAACGGCCGTCCCCCTGGCTCCGTTTGACGCGACAAATTCCACCCATTCGCCCCAACCACGCGTTTCCTTCTTCCTGCTTTGCCGTTTCGGCACTCTGCTCTTAGCACTTCTTCAATATCGCTCTTCTCTTGTCCACCCAAACCCGCCGTCATATCAGACCCGACCTCCAACAGACCTTACCAAACCCATCCTTTTCCACTTCAAACCGAACCTCGTCTCCGACTGCGCCCCCGCCTCGATCCTCCCCCATCTCCCCAATACCGTTAAATTCCACCCTTTTTCAGAAACTCAGATCCCCGTCCTCAACCCCTAGACCCCCGCCCTCAGAGCTCTGAACCCTTTTTCTCAAATCCTAACCCCTCTTCCTCATAGCCGTACTCCCCACCCGCTCAAACCCTTAACCAACGCCCCGAACCCTAACCCCCCTCAAACCAGAATCCTCAGCAATCCCGGCTGCGGCTCCGAGAAGTTGACCCGCTCCTCCTGCAGGAACTGCTCCACTGCCAGGGGCAGTCTCGCGGGCGTTCTCGCCCCCTTGGTGTGATGCCCCGTCCCGACGACGACGTAAATCTGCTGGCGCTGACGGGTGTGCGCGGCCTGCGCCTTCAGAGCGGCGAGTTCGCGCTTCAGGATGGGGATCGCTTCTGCCACGTGGAGGCCATGGAGGTCCAGCATCGGGGGATCCCCCGGGCGCCGGGGGTTGCGCTCAGCAAAGATGGCCTCGCCGGCGCGCGCATGGGCAGCCTAAAATGGAGAAGGAAGCAGATCTTAGAGCGAGTCAAAAGAGCAATGAAACTGGGACGACAAGCCAGCCAATAATTGGCAATTTTTGACAAGAGTGAAGAGCCGAAAGGCCGGGTGAACAGGGCTGCGGAAAGGCTGGGGAACTGGAAACTAAAATCGCTTTCGCTTGAGATGAGGCTGGGTCCCAGATGATAGCCAAAGTCCGCAAAAGCTCATGTGCAAAAGCACTTCAGCTCTTGTTTGCAACGGCCGTGAATCGCATCTCGTCGAGAGACAAAGAAGCACATTTAAGCAACATGACGACGCGCACAGTAGCAGGAAAACAAGAGCAGAATAGCAAGCGACGACTGCCCACCTTCATCCTCTCGTTGTGCCACTGCCCCTTGGCGCTCAGCTGCTTCGCGAGGGCCTTGTTTCCGGCAAGATACGCCGCAGTCGCCTGCTCAAAGCATGCGTTTCTCGCCCTCGCATAATCGCGCGCCTCATCCCTCAGCTGGCCGTACATTCCCGCAACGGCATCCCCAGTTTCGAGCCAGGGGGGTGGAGACTCCCCACGAGGGACCCCCCTGGGGAAGTCGCTCCGGCGCGGGGGGGGTGCATCGTAGGCCCAGCGGCTGGGGGCGTTTTGGGCGGCGGCGGCCTTGCGGACAGCGGCGGCGAAGTCTTGGACGTCTGCCTCTCTGCAAGTGGGAGAGATTTGACGAGGATGAGAACGACATTTGGTCGTAAGGGTACTTTAGCAATGCTTTAGAGGCTCCCTTTGGAACCTTTTACCATTGCCGTGTGCTTTCTTGAGATGTTCTTGATGGTGCCCACAGACAAAACGTACGAAGTGTCGAGGACACTCTTTCTAGGATTCCATCAGACACTCTTGGGCAGCACTCGCCAGACTTTGGGTCACGACGCATCAAGTGACACCGATCTCATCTGAGGGAGAAGCTGACCAAACGGACAAAGGCTTCAATCCTGACTTCAACCTATAACCAGTCTATGATTCAAAGCCCGTTGCATAGAGGAACTTAACAGCAGACAATGGCTCCAACGACTAAGCCTTACCTGGCTTCTCTGTGGGATGGGAATGGTGGTTCTCCTCCCCCAAGGGCAGGGAAGTCGTTCATGCCCAGGGAAGGAGGCGGCGGCGGGGGCTGGCGTCTCCTGACAGCACTGTTGCCCTCCTGCACCTGGGGTACAGAACGAAGATACTTTGAGAAATTATTCGACCCAGAAGCTATCGGCACTAGTCACGCCAATCCAGGATTTTCCCCAATTTTTGACACGACAAGAAGATCTTAGTGAATGACAAGAGAGAAAGTGATTAGGGAAGGTTCTGGACGCAGCACAAAACAAGCACAATCACAAGCAGATAGAAAAAAGCCAGAACTCGACTTGACTTAACAGTGGAAACAACTCTGAACAACCCAAAGTTCTGACATTACAGTGCGCAAGATGTTATGACGTTCACCCAACCTTCGCAATCCTAAAGCTATACCCACCTCGAGCTGAGTCAGCATCTCCATTGTCAGCGCCAGGTCACAACCGTTGGAGAAGAAAATCTCCGCCAGTCCCTCCGCAGGGAACCCTGGGAATTCCGCCGCCAGAACTTGCACGGGATCCGGCCCCGTCTCCTCAATAGGTGGACCCCTCATGCCCCCGCCCCTCATCGGACTGGGGGGGAAGTCGTATCCAAGAGGGGGGGGTGGACCGCGGGGCGATGGGAACCCCCTGCCGAAGCCCCGAGGACCAAACGCCGGGTCGAAGTCCGGTCTCATGCCGCGGGGGGATGGGAACGGGGGGTGGTCGAACCCCCTGTCGAAGCGGGGGGGAGGGCCGTCGTCGAGCCGGCCCCTGGGGGGTGGCGCGTCGAAGAACTCGCCGAAGCCAGGACGGACTGGCTCGCCCATGTAGTCTAGAGGGGGGGGTCCGTCGAACGGCCGGTTGAAACCGAAGGGGGGGGGTCCCCGCAGGTTCTCGCGGCTGGGGGTGCGGTGCGCGAAGGGGGGGGGACCTGGGGGGGCGGACGGGCCCAGCGCAAATCGCGGACTGCCCCCCGGGGGGGAGTGGTCCAGGGGAGGGGGTCCGCGGAAGGGGGGGGCAAACATTGCGTCGCGACGGGGAGAGGGGGGGATGCCAAGGCTGCCTTCGCTCCCCCTGCGGTGGAAAAGGGGGCCCTCGCGGGGGCTGAAGTCGGGGGGGAAGGGGGCGCTGTGTTCGGGGAGCGTGCGGCCCCCCCTGAAACGGGGGTCGAAGCGGCCCTCCTCGGAGAGGTCCATGGCCAGGGGGGGCAGGCGGGCGAGGTCATCGTGGAGCCTGTACGAAAAAGGAAAAGGGGCGTTGTCAGATTGGCTCAAACTACACCGACCAGACTTTGTAATGTTGAAAGCAAACAAGGATGGCCCTGACAAGATCCAAGTAACGGTTGTTCGGATTGGTTCTGCAACAGTACCAGCGGTCATGACATCGACTCGAATTGATCAGGAGTTGCGAAAGTGACAATCAGCTGAACAGAAAATTTGATCAGAAACACAATTGCTATGATAGAAAGCCAAAGCCACAACCTTTTACTTCCATAAACCGTGGCAAGCTTTCATATCCGAAGAACTTCAGAAAGCAGACAAGCTCAGCAGCACACTGACCTGCGGTCAGCCTCAAACTGCGCGCGCCTCATGTCCTCTTGGCTGCGCCTCCCGTCGTCTGGCACTCTGATAGGCATGCCCATGCTCTCCCCCCTCATCGAGTTCATCGAGACACTCCTGTTAATCTCAGCACCCCGCAGCACATCGTCATACGCACCAGGGGGGAAGGCCCGAGACTGGGCCCCAGGGCTGTGGCTCCCCCCTGAAAGAGTGCTCGGGCTGCCCCCCCGCGCCAAACTTGCGCCGAAGATCATCTCGTCGCTCATCTTGAGAAGGTCCCTCGGGAGCGACTCCTCGCCAAAGTGGAAATCCTCCGGGAGGCCGCCGAAGGGGGGCTCTGGCGCGCCCGTGTTGATCTTCCGGGGGGCAGACATCGCTGGTATCTCGACCCCCTCACTCCCTGGGCTCTCTGACAGGGGGGCTTGAGAGTCCGCCTTCTCTGACTCGCTCTTGCCCCCCTGAGGAGGTACAAACTCGGCCGCATTGGGGTTGAGACTCAGTGCCGCCAGCTGTAAGCTCGTCAGCCCACTATCCTCGTCCCAGGGGGATCCCCCATGCCCCAGCTCTTCCTTCTCCTCACCCCCCTTTTTTTGCCCCTCATTCACCCCCCCCTCCTCGTCATCCGAAGACGAAGCCTCCGGGCTGCTTTTAGAACTGGGCCGCTGGGCCTGTGCCAAGGCCAGGCCACTGAGGGCCTCTTTCTTGCTAAGGGACTCCAGGCTGCTCGGGCTGGTCATGTCAGAAAGCGGGCTCTTTGGGCTGCACTCAAAGATATCCTGGTCAGCCTTAACCTCGTGCTTAATCAGCGCCAAACCCTCGTTCTTGACCATCGGCATACCCAGCTCAAACATCCCCTCCGGAAGCTGCTTCTGGGCTCCCTCGCTCAAGAGGCGCGACGTCTCAATCTTTCCCGGCGCGCTTTCCGACACGTTGAACCCCGTGAACCCCAGCGAATCCAGCCCCGCCAGACCTCCATTCCCCCACAGACCCTTGACCCCCTTCACCGGCACAGGTACCCCTTTTGCATTTTCCGGCCCATCTTCGTTAGACTGCCCGTTCTCCCCAACCACTGACAGGGCGCCACCTGGCACATAGCTCGACTCGACACTTGTCGCACTCAGGTCCTTCGCCGCCAGCTCCTTCTTGTCCTCGTGGTCCGAGGCTCTGCTGGCAACCGAACAGCTGCTGGCTGGGCGGCTGAGGCCCCCAAACGGGGGGGTGCTTTTCCCCTCTTCCTTGCCCCCCGGAGACTTCCGAGCAAGAGGAACTGGGGCAACTAGATTGGCCGCATTGTTGAGCTCAGCAGAGCTAGCGCTTGAGAAGTTGGAAATCGCCGACATGCTGCGCTTCATAGCGGGGTTGAGAGAAGATGAGGAACTAGATAGGGAGAAGTTGGAGCTCCAGTAGTCGCGGTAGTCGTCCCGCGGCTTCCCGGCAGCGGCGTTGCATCGAATTTGCTCGAGGAGGCCTTGCACCCGGCCCTCAAGGCCATCCATTCGCAGCTGGAAAAACAGGAATTGACACTCTGTTCGCAAAAGCAAGCAGGATGCTAGAACATGGTGATTCAAGTGTCAAATTGCTGAAGCTATGAAGGAGAGGGACATGGGCCAACATTCACCAAAGTAGAGATGGTCAAAATGGGAGTCCACTGCTTTGAACGAGGAATGTACTTGAAAGTTACACGGAAGGTACCGTGTGAACTCAGAGCTCGGATGCAGCCGTGGTTCAAACATGCTGCAAGAGACCCAGATAGTGTCCTGGTCTCACCATCTGTGATCACAAATAAGAGCTCTTTTTAGCTACACACGAGCAACGAATACAACATGAATCAGTTGAGCTGATGAAAATTTGCATCTGTCACTCACTGTTGGAAGGAAAAGGTGGAGGTTTTCTGTCACTGCTTGAGTGCTCTTGCCATTCTTGTGTTGCATTGCCTCCTCAAAGATGATTCTGCACATCAGAGTACTAGTTTAGGTTAATTTCTGGATCAAGACCTTGGCACAATTCTGCAGCGCGATCCAGCTGGCGGCAAAATACAGCCAAGCAGATTTGACAAAAAGGTCAATTTCACGATCGGCTTTGTCAATACACGTTACACGGGATTTGCATTAAATGGCTGCTGACACAAGAGAGACGGTCTCCGGTGGGATTGCATTTCCCACTCTATGATCGTCCCCCATCAAAACTTATTCTGCTAATGAACATATAGTGAACAGAACCCAATACTCACTCGCTCAGATAATCCACCACGGGCTCGTCCAGCTCGCTGTTCGTCTCCCAGAGGAAACGCGCCACCGCCGGGCGCGCTGCATCAGAAGCCTTCACCTCTGGCGCTCCCATTTTGCAGGAATTGTCGGCCTGCACCATGCATGGGGGTTTATTGTAAGAAGGGGCATCAGAAACAAGAAGGGCTGAAGATGAATGAGAGGTAGAACAAAAATAAGGCAGGAGAGGGCCAAAAAGGATCTAAGAACAAGAGAGCTGGTGATGCGGCCAACTGTAGCCACAGTCTCAGCAGGTGCAAATTTAGGTATCAGCTAGACGGAAGACAGCTCCTTGACAAAAAGTGGCCCATCTCAAACTTCTGTCCTACAAGCTTCCATCTTTCACAACCAAAGAGAACTCGCAACACGATGTAAACCTTTTCCCCTGTTTGAATAGTTCCTACCAAGATTCTTAGCAACTTCGGCAAAGTGCAATTCATGAGCCTCCTTCCGTGCAATTCCAGGCATGTATGAGGAGAACAACAAGTGCCTTCTCCCATAGCCTGTTGGTCAAAGTTATGGACAGCGGGCTGATTCTGAGCTAGTCCAAATATTGAAGCAACACAACTCCACCTATGGCGGCTTCCATGAGAGGACGTGCAAAGCTCTCAACCTCATACCACAGGCACAGCTGCAACAGCTGGACTGTTCCCGCGCACTTGCCAAGCCAGAATGCACTTTCAGGGACTTGCGTAGGGCAAGGCAACAACTCGCCTGGCATCCTCAACTTACACCAACAGCATGCCCAGTGATAATCTTAGTTATAGAAGAGCTACTCAGCTTGATGTGGGTGTGATCTCACAAAGCTTTGCTTGTCCAAGAAAGCTTGACAGCTTGCCAATCTTTTAGGAACATCACGGTCAGCAGTAGAGGTATCCCACACGTGCTTGCATCAGGCACTTGCACCTTGAGGGGATGCCTATCGTGTTTGCTACTTGAGGAGGTGAACAAAAGAAACCCTTGCTGCGAACTTTTGAATTGACCTGAGGGCTCACACTCAAAGACAAACAACCACTCTCCATAACCTGGCCAGCTTTTACTTACGCGTTGAACACTCTCCTGACAAGACAGTCATCCGGATGGTGCGTTAACCGCGGAAGTCACTCCCCAACATGCATTAACAACTCTTGTAAAGACACAGCTCCAAGGCTTGACTTCAGGAGCACGGTCCAACACGACACCCAAGCGCAGCTCACCTAGCTCAGTCTCTTCCTGCTCTTGCGCACTTTCGAGCGGGCACATTCATTTCCAGGTCCTGCAGACGCTGCGAACCCCCTACGCCTTGCTCTGAGCTCTCAGCAGCTGGCCACACAATCTCACGGCCCAGTTTCTCTTGCAAGCAACTCAGACAGCAGCTTCCGCCGAAGCAGACCTACCTACCGTGCTGCAATTGCCTGCCTACTGTAGAAGGAAGCCATGCCCTTCCGGGTTCCCTCTGCCATTGGTAGGAGGTAGCCATAGAAAGCTCACCGGTTTTACCGGTACGTGGTATTCTCTGCTTCTTTTTGCAAGCCATGTGCGGAGTCAAGATGCCGCGTACCCTAGCGTCTGGGGATTCCCATGTGGGCATGCCCCCGAGCAAGAGGCCAAGAATTGATGACGAGGCTTGCAACTTGGAATCTCCGATAAATACGGTAAGGTTCCCAATGTTCCAGTCATTCTCATGTTCAGCTTGTAATGGTGCCTTATGACCTCCAAGAAAGTCTGAAGAATCAAACGATGCCGGCACAGGGAGCATCAAACAGTTGAGAGGCGGTTACCGAGCCACACCTTGCTTTAAATGCTGGGGTTTTCCGTACATGGGGCCCAGAAGGACCCCGAAGAAGGGCCCCCTGAAACTAGTGATTCCGTATCTATCCCCCTGAAATAATGAAGTCCGATTCTGGAAAAAATTTCACGTTCCCGGAATCCAGTGTTTGGTTCCTCTTCAAGGCGGAAAAGGAATCTTTTGATCCGTTCATCTGCGCCGTCGATGACCCCACTTTTCGCTGGCATTACACACTCTGGGAAATCACATGCCAACCAGAGGATTCCGGTGCCAACACCTACCCAGGTACAGCTGGGTACGGTATCTCCCTACCTACGGTACCTGTAGGCTGTAGTCGAGTACCGGTAGGTACCTAGCTGGAGCCTGGTCGGACCGGGTGGGCCTGGTACGGAGAACACCGTACGGACCGCTGAAGACTAAAGTTGCATGGAAGATCCTCCCGACGTACAGTTTCTGGTCGGGATTGTCCAGCAAGTTCATTTTCTTGACACAAAACAAACTTAGCGTCTTGTATTGTCTAACGTGTCATACTCTATGTATGCCACCAGGTTCACTGAATGAGGACGGCTGGACATCGGTTGTCACCGCTGGTCAGTGGTCACATTGGAATTTGGAAACCGAGTCAGTCGGGTTGAGCCACGTGGCGATGCTCGGACTCCTAACAGAAGTTGCTACAAACAACAATTTAATACAGTATCCCTGCCGGCCGTTCCTGTTCGCATGCGCGGCGGCGCGGCCGCGGAACTCATCCCCGCCTACTTTAGCGCGCGCGTGCGCCCCCCGGTACTTGTGGCGTCAAAATTGTCGTGTCCAGCCTCGCTTGAACTTGCACATTTCAATCCACATTACACCGTCAGCCGGAGCTAACGATGGCTGCAGCGGAGCGAGTAGTTGTGATGGACAATGGGGCTGCCTCCCTCAAGGTTGGCTTTGCTGGCGAGGTAGCCCCCCGGAAGGAGATGCCCAACTGCATCGTCCGAGGGAAGGGGGCAAAGAGGCAGTATGTCGCCGATCAAGTCGAAAGTTGTGAAGACATCCAATCCCTCACGTTCCGCCGGCCATTTGACAGGGTAGGTGTGCGATTTCAAGTTTGCGCGGGGGAGGTTTTCCACCTTGATTCTGAAAGCCTGGCGTATGCAGATCTTTCTCAATCAATTCTGGTGCGCAGAATGTCTGCTGACTTTGGTTCTCAATGGTGGTGCTCTTCGTGCCTGCCATTGCTAGAAAGTTTACGGGCCAACTAAGTAGTTTGAGCAGGTTGCCCTGCTCCTCCCTATATAAAACGTTGGCTCTTTCAAAGACTGTGAGAATCTCAGAATCTTTGCATTCATAAGTTTGACGGAATGGTGGAATAAACATAAGGAGCTCAGCTTGTAACATGCAATTAATTTTCCTGGGACGGGTGGGGTTAATCAGGGATTTGGAGTTGGGCCCCCATGCACATCAGGTAAAGTTTGGGTTTAATGGCAGTTTTCCTCCGTTTGTATCATACCGTGAGCTTATGATATTGTTTCAGAGAGTCATGTTGGTGGTAGTTGTGCTTTGATTGCTGGTCAGAGAGAATCATTGGTGGTTCTTCGCTTGATGGAAGTTCAGGAGTTTTCAAGGAAACAAAAGTTCCTTTGAAACTTATGACCACAACTGCAATCACTAATCATGCCCACTGATCTTTTGGTCATTTTGCTTTGCCCCTTTCATTTGTTGCCGTTAGCTTCTTCTGTTTTTCTCACTTGGACTCTCAGCTGAGACTTGTCCTCTTCTTATGCAGGGCTACGTTGTTTCTTGGGAGACGCAGAAAGAAATCTGGGACCGTGCTTTCTACACCATCCTTAAAGTAAGCCCTCTATTTCATTTTCTCCACACTTCATTCGACTTCCAACTTTCCACTTGATTCAGATGAACAGATTCTTTGAATCACATCCGTAAAAGGTCAAAGTATTTGCACAGCAATTATGGCCCGTATCCTATGTTTGAATATCTACCACTTTCTTCCAGGCTGTAGCTAACTTCATATGCAAATTCCGCCAAACCTTCTTTCTTTCAAATAGTCGACGCCAATTACAAGCACAAACCTGATTCATTTTGAAACACAGATTGAGCAGCTGAGTCACGAAGCACAACGTTGATGTCTTCGAACGATTATACCTCCCAGAAATCCTGGAGGTCCAGGTCTTTGGAATCAGACAACAGAGACAACAAAGCTCAGGACCGTCTCCATTGAGCAGCCTTTTCTGTTCCTTCTAAGCGGCGTGCCTTCTAACTACGACTTGGTCTGCAGGTCAAACCGTCAGAATGCAGCCTCCTAGTCACAGAACCCCCGTTCAACCTGCCCTCCATTCAGAGTTCTATGGACGAGGTGAGAATCACAGGCCTGTTTCAGATGGTCTCCACGCTACAGATGGTGAACTTAAGCTCGAGGGACGGGTGGGGTTAAGTCGCTTGGTCCGCATAGTATTAGTGAGCTACTTCCTTCCGCTTTCACTCTGGAGTGTTTGCCACTTGCGAGCACCCCCCGTTGGCAGCCCTCCTGCTGCCTTTGCGCTAAAATACTCGTTTTCTGATTGGAACCATCTCACATTCTTTCTTTTTCGTCCTCGATTCCTGTTGAGCAATCTTAAGCCCCCATTTCGGATCCAGTTAATCAGCATCCGTTCAGACCAATTGCTTTCGAGCAGACAGCTTCATTCGCCAAGAACTTTGGCTTGTTGCTCTGACCTATTTTCAGAGTTTCCGCTGTCTTGAACTGACGCCAAATCTTCTGGTTCCAGAGAACTGACTCCTCCCCATTGGAGAAGCTTGCTTTGGACGAGTGCCTTTCCCATGTCTGATAGAGCTGTTTCTTTGCGACCGTACCAATATCATCGTAGCGACATCACCCTTGTCCGTGCTGACGTCACAGGTTCTCGCCCTGCCAGATGGTCTTTGAGGAGTACGGCTTTCGAGCGTGCCACGTCGCCCTTCCCGCCGTGCTCTCCCACCGCCACGTGGCAACCTCTGAGCCCGCCAGCACGCTTGCAAGGGGCGGCTCGAGCCTTGTGGTCGACTGCGGGTTTTCGTTCACGCACACGGTGCCGATTTTTGACGGGTTTCCCGTTAGTCATGCGGTGCGGCGATTAAACTTGGGGGGCAAGGCGCTGACAAACTATCTCAAGGAGCTCGTCTCTTACAGGTGAGCGATCGGGGACTTTTGCAGAGGTCCCCGAGAAGATATTCGCGTCTTCTTTGGCGGGTAAGCTTTTGATTTCATGATTGACATCTTAGAAAGGCGTTCGGCAGCCCTCTGGCAATGATGAACAGTCGATCGAGAGAAGCCGTTTGCGTCCGATTTCTTTGAGAGAAGGCTAGATGCTGACAGTATGCGCAACAGGCTACTCGACTTGTGGAAAGTATGTTAAGGGCCGGATCACGAATGTAGCAGCGGAGTTACTCGAAAGCGGTCGAGGACCCTCTCGTTGTATCTGCGATGTCACTTTTGAGAAGGGCGCACGAGTTACATGGCAGACGAAGACCATTGAGGTCGTGCTATTGGTTTGCGAGCATAGCGTATGCAGGTGCATCGAGGTTGTTTCCTTCGTTTCTCCGAGTTTGAGTATATATCGACTAACGTAGGATCTCAACGTGTCCATAAGGGGCGAACTATGTTGTGACTTTGACTATAAGGAAAACGGGGCATAATCCGAATCGGTACAAATCCTAAACCGACCAGAATCACCATACCAGGGCCTCGTTCTTGATCCGGAAAACAGCTCTTTACTGAGGACGGGAAAGGAAACAGGGCCTCGAACATGCTGAAAGAGAAGGCCAGCACCGAGGACGGTGAAAAAAGAGGGCCTTGGAAACTCTTGCCCTTATTGTTTTATCTGGTCGTATCCAATTGCGTTCGTCTCCACAGGGCTCTGAAGAAGCTGACTGACCGAGAGCGAGCCTGTAAACTTTCAGCCCGTGCATTTCGCAGCTCTCGAATCGATCCACCTTCTTTTCGACAGGGCCTGGAACATGATGGAAGAAACGGCCATCATCGAAGACGTGAAGGAGAAGCTCTGCTTTGTGTCCCTAGACATTCCCGGCGACCTAGTTTTAGCGCGGCCCCCGGGAGTGGGAAACCCCGTCCGTTGTGAATACGTTCTTCCCGATGGTGTCAAGCATAAGAGGGGCTTCGTCAAGGTAAGAGCGTTGACACCTAGTCGGGTAACTTTGCATGTCTGACCTTTAGCTTCAATTCTGTCTCGAATCCCATTGACAGGAAGATAGCTAAAAGAAAGCCTCAACTTTACTCTCAAGTCGAGCCTGCCAAGAACGGATCTGAGGGGGAGCAAACTTTACACTTATCAATGAGACAACTTCTTGCTCACCTGTTACTTCGAACGACCATTATCAGGACGTCAAAGGCATGCTGACAGGGTTGAAATAGCAGATAGCGTCATGCTGACGTCAGGGAGGACCATTCCATGCAGGACCCAGAAGCAGCGTCAGCTTTCTTGAAGCGGCGACGGCTCGACCCAGCCGCGGACGAAGCCGAGCCAAGAGAACCTCAAGCCGACTCTGCGGTCCAGTCAGGAAAGCCAGACGCTAGCAACCGGGAAGAAGGGTCTGCCGAGCGGAATCCGCGGGGCGTTGGGCCGGCACACGATTCCGCTGACGGAAAGCCGGACGAAGCGGCTGACGGAAAGAAGGGGCGGAACGTCGTGGATCAAGTTCTGGCGCTGACGAACGAGCGCTTCCTGGTGCCAGAAATGCTGTTCCATCCGGCGGATCTTGGTACGATTCAAATCCTCGAGCTTCTTATCGTACGAGTATTGTGCTCCGCTGTCTCATCAGTCGTTTGCTTGTCGGATATGTTCTAGGTTTGCATATTGAAACTCTTCTTTCTAGGAAACTCTTAGAAGGTTTCTCGTTGTGTCATTTCGACACCTTGCTCTATTTGCACCGGATAGCGAGCCTTCTCGAGGAGCTCAGTCTAGCACGGAGCACGAATGTATATTTTCCACGTTTATTCTTTTCTCGGGGTCGAAAGTGTGCGTCTTGTAGATTGTGGTCAATCTGGACAACTGGAAGTGCGTTCGTCATCCAAGTTAAGCAAGCTTCATGTGCTTGCTACTTACTTTTTTTGACGTTTCGTCGGACAAACGGAAGGAAAGGTCCTCATCAATTCGTATCCGCTGACACGTGTCAAACGGACGACTCTGCGGGTTGCCATGAGTGACGTACGAGGCGCCAAAAGATGTTTTCCCCATCCAATTACTGGCACGAAGAAGATCCTTCCACACGACTTTGCTGCTTTGCATTGTTCCAGGTGTCAAGCAGGCGGGCCTAACAGTTTGCTTATATGGATTCGTCAGCGCTTTCCGAAGGCGTCTTTGGGAAATGCTCCCTCCGTTTTGAGTAATTGTGCGGCGTGAAATGTTGCTCCATCTTCACCCGTGCGAGCCAAACGTGCACCGCTCGCCTGGTCTTCTCTAACCTTCCCACCTTGTTTTCCTAACCTCTCACCTGGCCTGCCCTAAACTGCCCGCCTGATCTTGTTAACCTCCCACCTGGTCTGCCCTAACCTGCCCACCTCGTCGTCTCTAACCTGCCAGGTGTCAATCAGGCGGGTCTCGCAGACTGCATCGTGGAATCCATTAGCGCCACCCAAAAGGACCTCCAACCCCTTCTCTACTCCAACATTCTTTTAACGGGGGGTAGCACGCTCTTTCCGGGTTTCCGGGAGCGACTCGAACTAGAGCTGCGGCCGCTCGTTCCCGACGAGTTCGACGTGCGAATATTCACACCGCAAAGGTGGGTCATCCGGTTTGGCATTGTGATTGGAACCTTTAATACGGCGGGGGATATTTCAATGAAAGAAGATCCACAGGCAAAAGTGAGCGAGGGGATCGGGCGTCTGACTTCGCTTGATGACCGGCTTCGACTTGTGGGTTTCCACTGCTCAAGAGCATACGAGGGAGATTATTGACGAATTGGCCACTTGACCGGGGTGCGAAAGACGAGAATTGCAAAGGCGACGTAGTGAATTGCCAATTGGGTTGGTTGCAACTTCTGCATCGATTCGGAGCTTGCACGTCTTGTCTGCAAGGACGTAAGACGGCGAAAATCTTGGAGTGCACGCTACTGCGTGCGTAATCTTGTAAGCCCAGGACAGGCGTGTTGGAACCTTTCAACTCCAATGACCATAGCCTTATTTTTTCGCCAAGAGAATCTGCTACCAATTATTTGCTTTTGCGACCAGGTCCGACAGGGACTGCAAATCGCTACTCCTTAAGCTGACTCAATGGGCCATCTCCTCTGTGTCCACGCCTTTATTACATCCTGTGGGCAAGAGCCCGTTGCCGAAGGTCTGCTTCTAAACCAAATCTGGTCAGAAGAGCCCATCGTTGCAAAGTGGATGCTCGAGGGGGCTCGTTCTGCTAGCATCTCGTTTCAATCCGATGTGACGTCATTTTCCTTCTGTTCCTATTTGCGCTCATGCCAAGATCGGAGTTCGCGGGCGAAAGGCAAGGATTGTTGGTTAGGGAGGGAAAAGCGCACGCTGAATGTGCAATTGATTTTGGTGCAGGCCTAGCTTGAGTGCGTGGTTGGGGGGGTCGGAATTTGCGGCAAGCGACGAGTTTTCGGCATCCGCCATCACGAAGTCGGAGTACGAAGAGCTGGGGTCGTATCGATGTCGAAGGAAGGCCTTGCACCTTTGCTAGGCTTACACTGGATTCTTAGCACACGGCGCCCTTCGTCAAATGCATATTGGAGCTAAACTTGTACATCATACATCCGACAAAGTCCTTGAAGATGGAGGATTGTGTTGTCCTCTCAACGCGTTTGTTTCGAACAAGGAGGAGGATGCTTGTGGTAAAGCTGCAAATCATCGTGTTTCATATGAGCCATATTGCGGTATCGACTTGCACAAAGACCAATCTCGGACTAGCTTGGGCATCTATCTCGCGTCCTGGCCGCCCTTTCGTCAGTTGCAGGACCTGCATGCCTCATACCTTGAATTTCACCCTTCAAAACTCGAACAACGGTGAAGAACTAGTGTCATAAACTTTAAGCAGTCTTCGACGATTCAATATGACAAAAGTAAACATGCATGCGGCAAGCATGATCCACGTTGAAACATAGGCATGCATTGACATCAAATAACATGCTAGGACGGGATCGCGCGATCTGACATTCGCAATCGCATGAGTACCGTAAGCCGCTCGTCCGTCACCAGGCTCATGCAGCACGATGTCCCGGGCCGCGGCCGCGTGCTTTCTTTTGTGGTGTAACTAGGTACAGGAAAAGCAAAGTTCGGAACCCCTGCATCGCGGCGCCGTTACCACACATCTTCCGATCAGATCAAGTTTAGCGTCGGTAATTGATTGCGCAAAGGTACGATTAAGCGTTACATTCTCAAATCGGCTCAGCCCAGGCTAGGGTTTCGATACCATTACCGAGTGCCAACTTGGTGACGTGGGACGTATGTTGAGCACTATTGAAAGTTGGATGTTCAGAGGAGCCTTCGAAGGGAGCAGGGGCCATGGCATCCACTTTTTGCAGCTCGGACCTTCCTGATGTTGGTCTACTTGCTTGAGAAGCGCAAGGTCTTCACAGGGCACGCGGACTAAAGCGTGTGCCAACTATGGCGCTGCGGGGTCTAGCCGCTCGGTATCTGTTCCGAAGGTCTTCGTATGCGCCTCCTAAAGATCCGGGACCAAAGAAATTGTTTGGCCGTAGAGCAGCTCTGGCGGGCGTGTTGTTTGGGGCGACCGGTTATCTTGTCTTCAGCGAGCAGGTGAGGGGTCTTATGATTGCTTACAATCAAATATAGAAGTTGCAGAATCCATCAGAATCTAGTGGGACTTGCTCCAATCAGAGCAACAGAAGTACGATCAACTTTCTTCGACTGGCTCAAATAGATTTGGAGAAGGATGAATTCTGGTGAGTAGACACATGCATGGCGCCTGCGAGCGAAAGCGCCCATGATGTGATTTTCACTGGAGGTTCTTGGGCATAGCAAGGTCATAGATGCTGCGAGCGGCGGAAGCGATGTCACGCGAGTTTGGTGGTGGCATGTCTTTGTTGTTCGTCTTGAAACTGGTTTCCAGGAGATTTTGAGAGGGTTTCCAGGAGACTGCGGAAGCCATCAAGGTTGTCAAGTTTCGCAGCTTGTTCAACAGCTAATATTCTGGGGAGAAAGCTTCTAGGTTACTAGAAACTGGATAAGCTGTTGCGAGACTTGAACCGCTGGATTCGGCTAGCAGCAGCAGAGAAAGCTTTTCGCCTGTAGACTCCTCAACAATCCTCATGAGGCAAGGCAGTACGGTGGGGAAGGATTGAGCTCGCTTTTGATGTAAGGGTGGTGGTGACTGTTTGGCACTCCAGGATTCACTTTGTGACCTCCTTCTCGACCACCACGAAGCCCCTGCCATCAAACAATTTGATTTCAAGCGCAGTTTCTCTCTTCAATCAAGCGATTGTGACTGGTGGTGAGCTGCTTGGGTCCTCAGGATGCAACTGTGAACTTGTTCAACCTCTCCTTCAAAAGCCTTGTACTTGACTACCCAATATGAAGCGCAGTTCTACTTGTCTCGGTAAGAGAAACCTGATTGGTGATGCGGTTGGGGCCTTGGGACGCAATCAGGGAATTCCTCCGCCGTCAGGTTTGCCTTCTACTTAACCGTTCGATGTCAAGCGCAGATTTGCCTTAACCCACTTTGTCCCCCCCAGTTGCCGGAGTCAGCCCCGCTCAAAGACACGCCCCTCGCTGGGATCCGAACAGGAGGCCAGGGCGTGCTGAGGTCATCGAGGGCCATCCGAGCGTTCGTTCTCAACAGCCTAGACTACAAGTATACGCTGCGGGACATGGACAAGATGACCGATGAGTACGACGAGCTTCGGGCTAAAGTAAGATGGCATACATGGTGCCATCTTTAGAAACGCAAAGGGTGCTGAGATTATAATGGATGCTGGACAATCGAGCCGTCGTTTTGAACGGTGCGGTCTTGTTACAGTAGCGTAATCCAAAATGATCGTTCAGAAGGTTCGTTGTTAGGGTGACAGGAAGTCGTATGTTGCGTTTGGAAGTGCAAGTTCGGAAGGGCAACTAGAAACGGCCGTCGCAAAGCAGAAAAGAGCCTGATCGAGTCCATGAAGTTGCTCCTATAGGAATAGAAGGGAATCGGTCTCTTTTTGAAACAGAGGAAGTGGTATCTTTATGAGCACCACTCCCCCAGCGCTGCTCACGGTTGCTACCAAACTCCTCATTTAGGTACATCAACGTTCCGCCAAGCGGATCCTCCAGCTGTGCGAAAAGAACACGGGGACGTACGTCAAAGCGGGGCAGTTCCTAGCATCGTTGCAAGGGATCCCCCGAGAGTACACGCAGACGTTGTCGGTCCTGCAGGACCAAGCCAAATACCAGACGTTCGACAAGATCGACAAAGTGATTGCGCAGGAGTTAGGCAGCAGCGCGACTGAAATGTGAGCCCAGACCTAGTTATTGATCCATCTTTTATGGTAGATTATCGTTGGCAGTGACTAAGCGCTACTTCGAAAACCCCATCACCGACCCAGGCGCTCCTCAACTCGTTTCCGACAAAATCAACGGGCCAACGAAGAGAAATTCTAGTTTCTTGCTCCCAAGCAGATTTCAGTCTTAGTACGCTCCTTCTTTGAACTTAACCAGCTTTCATCCCACCAGATTACTGGAATCGCTTGCGCAGGTCCATGGCGCGGTATTGTCATCCACTGGCGTATTGCGAAGATTATCCGACATTTCCGGCAGGCCGGATAATCCTTCTCTCTTTTCCGGAATCAGATACCGACATCGTACGCCTCCTCTTGCAGCTTCGCCGAGTTCGACACTGTTCCGATCGATGCGGCCTCTTCAGCGCGAGTCCACCGAGCAGTGCTCAAGTCTAAACAACTGCTAAAAAGAACCATTGTCGACTATTTTCACTTTTTGTTGATTCTCCAAGTTATCCGGCAGGACGAACAATCATCAATCCAAAAAGATTACAGGATCACTGACCATCAGCCTACCGTTCCATTTTGCAGTTTCGCCGAGTTTGACCCGGTTCCAATAGCCGCGGCATCTCTAGCGCAAGTCCACCGTGCAGTGCTCAAGTCTACCGGCCAGGAGGTGGCTGTCAAGGTGCAATACCCCGGGCTACAACAGCAGTTTGAGACGGACATTACAACCATGCACGTCCTCTCCAAAGCCATTGCCTGGGTGCGTTAAATTGAGCTTTCTCTGGGTGTTCTCCTTTTCTATTTTGTTCGTTTGGTGTTGGCTTTCTGTTGGTCTTTGAGAAGGGTAAAGAGGAAGCATTTTGAGAACATTATCATTGTTATGCACGTGGTCTCCAAAACCTATCGACAGGGTGAGTCAACAGAGCTCTTTAGACGTTTTTTTTTTTGTTTTTTTTGTTTTTTTTTAGCCACATTTTTTTAGAGAAAGAGGAAACAATTTGAAATTGACTTTATATTCATGCACGTCCTCTCCAAAGCGATCGCCAGGGTAAGTTGGTTGTGACCTCTTCTCATGTTTTCTGCTCTCCATGTTGTTTCTCGATTTCTGCGTACGTTTCTGATCTCACATTGACCAGAGAGGGAGCGGCTCGAGAACGACATCAACTCTACGCACGTCTTCTCTTAAGGAAGATGATTCAATTGATATTTTATTCCGGAGGCTGTTTGAAAAGGACATCAACGAAAAAGATTTCAAATCTCACAATAAAAGGCGTCCTTGCAATCGTTTCCTGGGTATCGTTCACAAAGCCGGTCCCCGAGTCTTAGAGCAACTTGCAAAAGGAGCTTGACTTCCTCGGGAGGGCAAGAACCCTGGAATTCCAACATCGTATATCTAGATTCTCTCCACTGCAGTTCTTTCCTGGGTGTACCAATATCCGTGCCTGGACCCGAGCGCCCTAGCAACTTGCAGAAGTAGCTCGAATCCACGAAGAGGGCAAGATTCCTGGAATTTTACAAGTTCCTACGACCTTCAAATGTATCTTCCTCGCTGCAGTTGTTTCCTGAGTATCAGTTTACGTGGCTTGTACCCGAGTTCCAGAGCAACTTGCAAAAGGAGCTCGACTTTCACGAAGAGGGCAAGAACGCGGAGCGGGCAGCGGCCAACTTTGCGCACCGAAAGGACCTCAAAATTCCGGAAGTGCTGTGGGATCACACTACTAAGCGCGTGCTTACGATGGAGTTTGTGCACGGCTGCAAGGTGAGGGGTTTGCTTGCTGTTGAGCATGTATAGTCAGGGGTTGAACAGGCTTTCTTGGATCTAGGAACGAGGGTTGAGCTGGGTGGATGTGTGAATTCTGCCTTTGATCGCGACGTCGACATGTCGTAAGACCTCACCGTCAAGCGGGTGCTACAAATGAAGTTGTACACAACTGCAAGGTGAGGGGTTTTACGTGTTCCGTTTGAAGGTCTGAAATAAACCTCGTAAGGATCACGATCCCATTGCAAAAACAGTCAATAGGGTGTTCAGGTCCCCAACGAAGGGGTCAGGGGTTCTGACGTTCGAGTTTAGCACTTGCTGCAACTTCGACCTCTCAAAATTACTCTTTTGAACACCAAGCGCATGCTGACTGTCACCTTGGTTGCAAGATGACAGTGAGGGGTTTGAGGTTGTAGGTGAATTTTATTATCAACAAGCGTGTCTCTGCTTGCAAGTCTCGCCCTTGCCTCTGCTATCAGTTCCTTCCTCATGGATGCGTATTGGAACACCGAAAGCCCTTTGTAGCCCGACGATAAGGTCCGCCCTGTGGGATAAGGAAATGGGGACTGGGCAATTGCATCTTTCTTGTTGCGAAGCGTTTTAGCCCGCAAAATTGCACGACCATGCAGCAAACCCTGAGTAGCAAAGGGAGTGCTGCAGAACCCTCACGCGATAGACCACGCTTCTGTGGAATGCCAGCGGAATGTCTGCGTTTGCGCAGCGGAACCTAGGATCACGATCTTTGGTTGACTCCAAGTGGAGAATCCTTAGCTAATTGACAACAACCAACTTCGTGTTTGCATTCCTCCAAGTACCAGAGCTTTGAAGCGTAATTGTTCTCCTTCCTCGTCCATTTTCCCCCACTCCCTAGTTGCTAAAAGGTGACGGCCCATTGCGCCTCTGCAGATAAGCGATCGCGCAGCCATCGAGCGGTTGGGCTTGAACGCGCAAGCGGTGTCGAGCCTCCTCGTCGAGATCTTTGCCGAGATGGTGTTCTGCCATGCATGGGTGCATGCGGACCCCCACCCCGGCAACATCCTCGTCCGGCAAGTGGGGACGGCTAAGAAGCCCCGGGCAGAAATAGGTGAGTGGAGAACTTTTGATCGTTTGCAAGAATTCTTCTTGCTCTTTGATGTAAGATCCTCCGGCTATCAGACACTTGTTGGACGCCCTCCCGACGCTGTCTTCCTCTGCTCGCATTCTATTCGACCATGATCTATGATTTTTACCGAACCAGCGCTTGTCTCGTCGCCCATTTCAAAGTTGTAGGAACATTCCGGACGCTCTTGGAACCCGTAGTTCGCTTGCCTGGACGCTTTTTTCGGACGCTCGCTTCTTGAGTCGGCAGTATTGTTGGACCACGGGCTGTACTGTTGCTTCGACGAGCGCCTTGTTTCGTCGCACGTTAGATGTTGGAGAAACATTTGTGACGCCTGTTGTACACTTGCTTACCCTTTTGCGTGTCTCCGGACGCTTTTCGGACGCCCCTTTTTTCATCCGTTTGGTCATTGGTACCTCGGACTGCACCGTCCGATCGACGAGCGCTTATCACTTCACATGTCCGAATCCATACCCATTCCGGACGCTCTCTAGGACACTTTCCCACCTTTTCCTGCTGTTGGAATGCTTTTCGGACGCTTTTCGGACGCTTTGTATCTGCATCCGCAGTCTTGTTGGACCACGGATTGTACCGTGAAAGCGAGCCGTTTCCTTGTTCACACACGAACCCTTGGGAACAGTTACGGACGCACCTCGGACATTTCGCCACCTTATTTGCCCTTCTTCGGACGCTTTCCGGACGCTCTCTTCCTTCTTCCGCAGTGTTGCTGGACCACGGACTGTACCGTCAAATCGACGAGCGATTCCGCGCGGACTTCTGCCAGCTGTGGCGCGCCCTGGTGCTACAAGACCGGGCGAAGATGAAAATCTATGGGGACCGGCTGGGGGCCGGCGACTACTACAAATACTTCCCGGTGATATTCACCGGGCGCTCGTTCAGCAGGTGAGGCTGCTTTACATTATTCTGTATTCATTGGGATATGTTTCCGGGCGCTCTTTGGTTGATTATATCGAAGCTCTTTGGTTGCTCGTAGTACTGCCCGGTGATATTCACCGGGCGCTCGCTGAGCAGGTGAGGCTGACTTACCTAGACGGTTGGTTAGAGGTCGGGGAATCATACTGGGCACCCTTTTGGCGTAAAAAGACGGAGTTCTTTGGTTGCGGTGATATTCACCGGGCGCTCGGTGAGCACGTGAGGGGGATGCGAACGACTGGTTAGCATTGGAATTGAATATGGTTGATGAGGAGAATCTTTTGTTGGCGAAGGTAGTCGCGTGCACAGACTGTGCCGTCTTTCGAGCAGTAAGAATGACTTTCAGTGGGTGTGAAGGGGGAAGGACCATGCAGCACGGTCAAGTTTGGGTGTCGATCGAGATCCCCTTGCGACACTCTATCTATTCACTTGGGGTTGGATGCCTAGGCTGACCTTGATTGGGAATCTAATTGAGCACACCTTCGGCGATTACCGTAGTAATACTCTCTGGTTTCATTTAACGGTTGCAGGGCAGCCGGTATTGATTGGTTATGTTGGTCTCTGCTGGAGGCATCGGTTCAACCGTAATTTCTAGAGGGTCAAAATGGAATTGAATAAACGGTGGTCGGAGACCCTTACAATGACTATAAAACCCTAAGCTTCTAAAACCCTGTCTCTTCAACATGAAAGAGTAGTACTTGAACAGTCTTCGAGATGTTAAATTGCTTTGCAGCAAGTCGAAGTTGGGCGAGGGCATGAGCGACGCCGAGCGTGCGGCGCTGCGTGAGGAGGTGCGCGCGTTCACGATGGGCGACCTGAGCGCGTTCATGGAGCGGCTGCCACGTGACATGCTCACGGTGCTCCGGACAGAGTACGTACGAAACATCGTTTCCTCGGACAAATCGGACGAAGAACATCTACTTTGTGGGAGAAACAGGCTTGTTTTGGAAGATAGTGTGATGCATGCTGCCACGTGGCATGCTTACCGTGCTCCGGACAGAGTCCGTACGAAACCGCCGCTTTCTGGCCGTTTGCCGTCCCCAATTCTGGGGCAAAAACAGATCTTCAGTGAAGATGCTGTGCGGTGCGTTTCGTGTCAAACCATAATGTGAAGGGTCTATCCCTCTGTCAACTCTGCTCGACCTCACCTTGACGTCGTTGCTGACGTGGCACCTCTCCGCAGCGGTTTGGTTCGGTCGATCGGTCGGGCGTTGGGAGGAGACGTGCGCGAGCGGTTGCTGATCAACATCAAGTACGCCATTCTGGGGGCCAATTTGTCGCGGGGGGGCAATCCAGGTGAGCGATTCAATGTGTTTGTTTTTTCTCTGTCTCTCTCTCTCACTCTCTTCTCTCTTTTCTCTTTATTTTCGAGCTTATTTCCCCCTGGCCAGCGGATCGTCATAAGCTAGTATCGTCGACTTCCAATCTCGGATAAATGCAAGCCCATCGGTCACAGGAGGGGTGCTCGAACGAAGCACTCTCGACCGGTCTATTGCTGCTTAGAAGTGAGGAACTGTAGGATCCATTTACAGCCACATGTTGAACAGGGACGTCTCACTTCCGGCTTGTATTGTAAGTCGTGTAAGGGTTTGGCTTGGCAAGGTACGCTTTGGGGACGGAGCACAAACGCTTTGTAATGCGACGCTGTGTTCCCCTTGAAAGACTCGGCCTCGGTCAGTGGCGTACCCAAACCAATCCTTTGTTATACAGGTTTTCGGGGCGCTGTAACGTGCAAATACGAACGAAAACTGTGTCGAGGACAATTCCTTTTTTAGCAGAAGATCCAAGCAAGAGCTCAAATATTGCTCTACTCTGTCCCCCTAATCTGTAAGGAGTTCATAAGGTCCAAATCAAAAGAGGAAGGTTCTTTGGACAATCCTCCTGCAAAGAAGGTTGGATCACTTACTTAGGTAGGGTTCCTCCAACCTAGAGAACGGTTTCGCGAAGCTTCATCTTCCAGGAAGTCAGTGACGTGTCTATGCGACAGCGACGTATTCTGACGTCAGCAATCCGTTTCCGCGCGTGCAGACGCTCAGATCCGGTCATGGACGTCGTCAATTCGCGTAAAGTACGAGTACGCCCAAGTTCGGCTACGGATAGGTGAGGCCTTTGCCTTTTCTTGCTTGAGCAGACTGCATGATTTCGGAGAAGTCTCCCGAACCACCTCTTTCGGTCCCCCTTTCAGTGATATAAACAACATGAGAGGCCTTATTTCTATGGAGTTTGCAAGCCACGCTACAAAACGGCGTCCTCCGGATCCATCTCAGACTTCGTTTGTGCATTCGTGGCTCTGCGGAGCAGGTTGTTAAGAACGCGTCTCCCGTTTCCCCTTCTCTCTGCCCGTTACTTTTTGCTCCGTCTTCACGCAAGCGTCAGGTAGAACTGCATTGGTTCCCCTTGGCTGCGGTTCATGCTCTCAGCGGGCCACTAGCTGAAAGATTGTTACTTGTCGCTCCTTTCTGTACGTTAAGACAACATCACCGGCGCCAAAGTTAGCACCAGAGCAAAGTATCGACCGGCTAGACGTGACGTCAGCAAACAGCGGGTGAGATTGACATAGTGCTCATCCAGCCAAGCTGCAAGAGGCTCATACATTTTGTTTCCCGGTTGCAGCTCTCGTGGAGTGGGTATTGCGCGTCCGAACCATATGGAGCGCTTTCATGTCAAACTTCGAGAAGACCGTCAATACAAATATGCAAGCTGCTAGAATAGAGATCTGAGCCCAGGTAAGGTTGCACGCGATTAATCATGGCCCACTGACAATGAGTTAGGTCAATTGTAGGTCCGATTTCACCGCAAAGGTAATCCTTCATAGTTATTCTACAGGTGCAGCTAGTTGGATATTGTGCAAGCGCAAGATGCTTGAAAGATTACAATTGACAGAGCAAGAGTTTGACGTAAGTTCGACACTATCATAGACTTGACATCATTCGAACAGGACAGAAGGCTTTCGCCCTGTACGAGATTCAAGCAGTACCTCAGCGTCAGTTTCGGCATTAAGTCCGAACCCATGGAATTTTGTACAACTGCTTAATTTGCTCATATCATGGTTGCCATATTATCTTCCACGTAATACGCGCAGCCTGCAATTGGGCTTATAGAGCTCGCTGCACAAATGCCCGTTTTTTAAGTGCAGAGATCTGACTTGCTAGCTGGCACATTGCAGTGCATTGGAATTACCGCATGTGTTTGCATGCTGATCGGATCCTGTGCAGCTAGGCATGTATATGTGACTGGGAATGCATGCTTATCACCCGATCGATCCAAGTCAGATCGTACGTACGTCTGTTTTCCAGCTAGATCGATTTGGTGCCGCCATCTACGAGTTTGGTTGCTAAATTTCCATTTACATGTTAACTCAAGGCCTTTTGCGCTTGTCAAATGACGCAAAGATTAAGCATTAACATGATTGAGAGAGGAAAAAAAAAACGCAAAGTGTGACAGCAGAATGGGATGTACGTACTTGCAATTGAGCGGCCAGTACCCGCAACATTAGCATATGCGCAGATTTGCATAGCCAATCCAGTGATGCTACAAATGCTCGATACCTACAACCATGAATCCATAAACCAGGTTCGACAATGACATGCATGCCATGTGCTCTCCAATGGTCGGACTTGTGTAGAGCTACTAGCCATTGTAACTTAAACTACATGAAAAACCTGATCGAAACCTGTGAAATCTTCTGACGAACCTTTGGGATGAAGAGATTGCAGGCTGATTCCACTCTGTGACAAACTCGCTCACTGATCCAGCCCGCTAAAAAATGACTATGAGCGATCAAAGCATCTACAGATGTGAATGCAGAACGGCCGCATGGACATAAGAATCCAGAGATGTTGTGAGGGAAAAAGGAGAACAGCAGAGGAAGAATGAAGAGAGTATATTTACTTCGTTACAAACACCGTCCTTCAGAGTTTTGGAACCCTGCAAACACACACGAAGGAGTGGTTGAAGACTTCGCAAATGTGTCGTTTAAGACTTGCGAACTGATTTAAATGCTCACACGATGTTATGATTTCCAGTGCTCACACGATGTTGCGGAACAGGTAAGTGTGGAACTGGGTGATCAGCTCATCCAAACACACGCTCAAGAACGTTCTCTCCTTCAGTCTTAAGCTTTGCACCATGCCCACATGGCATCTGGCCATGCTTTGACGAAAACCAAATTTTTCAAAAGCCATTGCGGCAGGTTTGACAAAGTAGTATGAGATGACTTCAGCAGATGTGAACAGCATGCTCATACAAACTGCGATTGTTGACCAAAGATTTGAGATCGTTAACGCTGACCATCTGCTCCCTAAGTTGCCAGATAAGGATTCAGCGTGCAACTGCCATCAGCGCTTACCATCATTTGCAACTTAGGTCTCAATCTGCTCCCTGAGTCGCCGGATGGTACTCCGTACTGTGACCGCACTAGCCGTGTTCAAAGTGTATGCGCCCCCTGCCTTGGTCTTCCCGCTCTTGTTGCAGTGCCAGATGCCAACAGCTACCCGCTTGAACGAGAACTGCACGCGGAACAGGGCGGCCAACTCGTCAGCAATAGGTTCTATCTTTCCCTAGAATCAAATCGAGATAGCGTCTGCATCAGCTACCGGCCTAATCACCCCTAGCCAATCCCCCAGACTCTAACAGTCCTTACAATCCTTTTCTGCACTTGACTGCATTCCACTGGCATCTGGCCCCTAAAGTATCTGGGCGGCCCCAGCACCATCTCAGATACTAGTTACTCTCAATTGACTTGACGAGCGTGTAACCAGCACTTCAGCTACCCGGGTACTTTGGTAAAACCCTGACCCGGAGATGCACAAGCTCGCACCCAGACCCACACTAGCCGCCCAACTAACCGCATCCGTCTCCCATCTCAAGTCGCCTGCTTCTTTGGTCATGTGAGTTAACCAGAGTCATCGACACATGATAAGCCTGTAGAACCACCTGACTTCTCAAGCTGACGTCCACTTTCAGCCACCGTACAAAAAGAACTCAGCCCACAAGCGCACCGATGCTCATGCAAACCCGTGAATGTGCCCGCCATAAAGGAGCAATGCCTTACCGTTCCGCTGAACTCGCTGAAGTATTTGGAGTGCTGACTGATCTCCATCTTCTTAATCTGCTTTCGCAGACTGGCACCATACCTGGTGCCTGTTACATCGAGCAAGCGGCTTGTCACCAACTAGACGCGTGATGCAAAACTACTAGGGAGTACTGACAAGTGGCTGACCGCTATTCGCAATGATAGTACATCACCGTTTTCCATCTCTTGCTTTCAAAGCCTCATTGAGAAAGTAACTTCGGGCTGATTGCAATGCTTTCAGCGAGGCTGCTATATCCAAACCCCTAATTGCAAGCGGGTGGAAAGTGGACAGCCTGCCACAGTGATTGCGCCCGTACTTTGCAACGCTGACCCGCAGGAACTTAGCAGGATCCTCACAACTTGACATCCCTGCGACTATGTTGTATTCTGCTTAAGAAGACCATTACCATCTTTTCGTCGTGATGTCCTTGACATGCCCCACAGTATACCGTACACAGTGGAACTCTGACTTTTCCCACTAAACTGAAGCGGCTTAAGCAACTGACTACAATTGTCATTTCCAGTGCCAATGATCAACAAGATGTGCCAAAGCAGCTTAAGCTGCCAGCCCATAAGGCGCCAACCGAGCTGCTGTTGTGCCCCTTAATATGCATGGATGGGCAAAACTCCTTCGTTAAGCAGAAAAGAGTCGGTCAAGATACAGGCAAATCTTCTATCCAAAGTAACAACTGAAGAGCTGACATCAGCTTATACCAAATGGTAATGGTATCTAGCCCTGAGAAAAGTCAAAACAACTCACCATACTTGCCGACGATGCCGGCCTTCTTGGTGCGCTTCGTCTGCAAAAGGAACGAGCAAAATCCCTTCAGTGCCTTCGAACCAGGGCTGCTTGCAGCACTTTGACTTGTACTGTGGTTGCCTACAGCACAAAAACGTGCAGATTTGCGCGGCTCAACAATTTCAAAGTAGAAGGTGATAGGCGGATGTAGGTATTCAGAGATGAAAGCAAAACACAATCTAAAAGGTGCCCCCGCTAAACCCCCTCCGCTGAACGCGTGTCGTCATCAAAGGTGACCGCCACCAAACCGGCGGGACATCCAATGTACCCAGACGAAAGTGACCATCTGCACACACAAAAGAAGACGAGCCTCAAGGTGAGGAAGGAAGACGACAGAGCATTTGACCTCACCATGGCGGCCGACTCCTTGTCTGCTCTTGTACACGACGTTGAAAGAGGGAGAGCTCGGCGCCGAAGGTTGAGCTTTCAGCAGACCCGCGATCCAAGCTTATGATTGATTCGAAAGTACCCAGAGGTTGGGCAGGGGCATCAGGATGCTCGGGAGGTTTAGTTGACACTTTATTGATCGACCGGGACCAATGACCGGATTCTACGGCATTTGGTCTCAATCTGGGTACACATGCACGTATCGAGCGTAAGTACTAAGAAAGATTGGCGTCTTCAACTTTAAAGTTCTGGCCTGGGCTGCTGATGTCATCAGGGTGCGCCCCTGCTCGCGGGTTTCATGCGAGCTTCTGCAAGTCAAGCAGCCGGTGCAGTAGGTGGATAAGTTACCCAGTACGGTATGCATACTGTACACGAAGTACCACCGGTCACAGGGCACAGGCTGACACCTAGAGACACACTACCTTGAGTCTTGAAACCGCGTACAGCACCGTTCAGTACTGATACAGGTGAATGGTGAAAATTACATAAGATGCAGCACGAGTACTGCAGCAGAGCTGCAAAGCTCTCTAAAACAGTAGCGTTCCTTCTCCGCCAGGTCTAGGGTCGGGTCAAAGGGGTTTCGATTTCTTGGATCCGCCCGCGTTCATCTTCATCTTTGGAAGCTGGAGGACGCAGATTGTTACGAGTAGCGCGGCGAGCTCTCAGTGCTGATTCAAGTGGATTTGTGGATTCCACGTTAAATCTGGTCCACAAATGAGAAGAGTCTGATGGTGGTTTCTTTGAGCCTGCATATCTCTATTTGACTTTCATAACTTGAAGCCTGACAGTGTTCTTACGCCTTTCGAAGGGGCCTGCATTAGGGTTCCAAAGCTGCAGAGAATCTCCAAATCGGGCTTCCCAGACTTCTAGACCTGCTGATCAGCAAGCTCTTGCAAATGTGCACAGCTTTCATATCATCTTTTTGCAGAAGTCGTGCTGCTAAGGGTCGTGCTGTCAAGGGTGTCGCTTTTCTCAGCCTAAGTTCGGTAGTTTCTGCGATTCAAAGCTTTGACAAGAAAGAAGCCGAAAAAGGCGCCTTTCAGGCTCCAACATCTGTAGCTCTGTAACCGGGGGAAGCAAAAAGCAACCATGTATTCTTCTCAGCATCGAGGGTCCCCAGAGCGTGGTAAGCCACTAGCCAGCACTAGGGTTTTCTTCTTTCAAGAGTTTCCAAGCACTGATTCGTTTCAGGATCCAGCTTCTGCTGAGTTTCTAAGGAGACCTTGCAAAGGGTTCACCTGGAGATCTCTAGGCGCCAGATTCCATTGCAGCACATGCTAAAACATTGATGGAACTGAGATGGAAACTTAAATCTCGAAACTCCAGTCTGAGGAGGGGTTCATACGGCCTGAAAAGGGCAACGCGATCTGACTTTGTGCATGCATCATAACCTTCAGTAAACTGCCGACCTTCACGGATTGGCTGCCTTTCGTTGGAAGAATCACAGCCAGCAACAAAGGCATTGACTCTAGCGAACAGGGGCGATTTAGATGTAGCGTGCCCATGGGATAGCATCCTTGCTTGGTGTGTCCTTCTCTTGCTCGTTGCTAATTCTAGCATCAGCAATAGAGCAGAGAATGTCTCATAACCGATCTGGTGTTTGTGTTGACAAAGTCAGCAATGCTGTACTGGCCTCCAATCACTGACGCGATCTTGAAACGTTCCCAAGGATGAGTGGCTCAAAAGCTGGGCTCAAGGTTATGAGTAGGCCGAATCAATGGCCCCCTGTAGTCGCTTATTTCGATGGTCGAAGCAGCCTGATCTCTGCACCAGTTTGACCTTTTTGTCTCAGGCAAGGTGTCTTTCCAATCAATTGTGGTCGTGACTCTAATCCAACCATAGCTTACGGCTGCACCCCTGCTTATACAGTGCTCAAGCCGGAGATCAAGCGCCAGGTGGCAGGCTACGTATCCACGGCGCCCATCTCTCCTACCGGGGGGCACCATCATTATGACTACGCATCCCCCCCCGGCTCTGCTGCCCAGAAGCTGGGCCACGTGGCTGAGCGCTTCTCCTCGTTTTACAACGACTTGGAGAGCGAGAAGCAGCACAGGTGAGAAAGAGACTCTTCAGCGCTTTCCTTTGGTTTCATCCGGTTGTCCCAGCGTTGAGGGTCAGGGAAAACGTACCCGCAGATGTTCAAAGCACATACTGCTTGCTTATGCAGTCGGACGCCTTACATTATGGGCCAAAGACATGGACGGCCCAGCAACCAGAACTACTACGTTGCGCTTGTCAACAAAGCTGTGAGGAGTTGAAGTCTCATCTAGTCGAGAAAGACAGACGCCCTGCGGCGGGCATTGCCTAGTGTCTGAAAGGGAGAGAAGAACGATGAAGAGGACCTGTTCGTGCAAAGGCTCAGGAGAGGAAGTTGCACCGCTTTCCCGTTTCTCAAGAGACGATACTGAAAGAAAACCGGGTCGTCCCGACCTGCTCCGGAGCGCCGTCTTCTTGAAGAAGCAAATTTTTGGCAGTTCCAGAAGACACCATTTCCCTTCAGTGTCGTCTTTCGGCGCTTCAATTGTGACTACTTGAAGTCCGAACGACTGCAGGAATGAGACGGTTGCTCAGTTCCTGCAGTTCTATGAAGTAACAGCAGCCGGAGCGCAAGCGCAATTTGAGCTGGCTTCGGCATCGGCTTCACCAGCGTTTTTGCCAGCAATACAGAAAGATGTAACACATTTTTGGGCTACCCTTTCGACCTTCGCTTAATATCAGTTGCAGGCAAGCGGGACGGTCACCGGTGCGCAGCGCTGACGGATGCGGTGCAAAAGGTGGGGCGGAGTCTGGGAGGGGGCGTAATCCTTACACTCCGTTTGCAACCCCATTTGAACGTCGCACACCTTTAGCTTTATCTATTACCAGAGGACGTTCAGCTTGCAGACGCAAGACTTATGCCCAATGGCGTGCGGCAAAGGGGACTTCATGGCGAAGCTAAATCGCCAAACGGTTTGAAACAAAGCCTACCAATAAACCTACTAACATGTCAAGAAAAAGTAACCTATCTCAACTCACAAGACCGTTCTTTTTCGCAGACGTGAGACCGACGCCCAGCGGCGCGCGGCGCTGACGGAGGCGGTGCAGAAGCTGGAGCGCGGTTTGGAAGCGATAATCGGCCTCGTTGAACCTTTCGCGAAACACATTCCAACAAGCAAATCTCCCTCTCATCTTCTAGAAGCTAATTACATACTTTTCCGCAGGCGCGAAACTGACGCCCAGCGACGCGCGGCCCTGACGGAGGCGGTCCAGAAGCTGGAGCGCAGTTTGGACGCGGAGATCAAGCGGCGCGCGGAGGCGGACAAGGGCCTCCAAGCGAGCCTCGAGGCGGAGATCAAGGCCGTGCACGAGAAGCTGGCGGGGCAAATTCGCGAACAAAACCTGCAGCTCAAGGTGGGGTCAGCGTTCGATTTCGGAACTACAACCTGACCACTTCTTTTCACTCGGTCGAAACCATGGTGCAAGAGAAGCGGCGGGCGGGGCAGCTCCGCGAGCAGAACCTGCAGCTTAGATCGAGTTCCACGCTTGTCTTCGATATTTGTTTGTTTGTTTGATTTTTCTTCTTCCGCTCTTTTTCGGTTTCGAAAAGACCCATGGCTCTCGAGTTCTTCCCGTGGGAAGTTGTCTGATTTCATCCTTGTAAGAGGACTGTTGGTCTTTTTCTGTGAAATAATCTCTGACTCAAACCTGGTGCAAGAAGGAAGCTGGTGGGCAGATCCGCAAACAGATCCGCGAACAAAAGGCAACGCCAGTCTACAATAATACATCTGGGTTGATGTTCTTTTTGCTATCTCGTTCTTTTGCTATCTCGTTTGAGGACTTGATGCGGGAAAGGAGCCTGCAACTGAAGATAGATAAGATGTCCGTCTTGGATCTGACTTTTTCAATACTGCATCCACTCAGTCTGCTAAACCCTCCGAACCCTTGCGCGGGGGAGTATCCACACACTGCACGAGGAGCTGCACGAGGAGAAAGAGCAGCGGCGCACGAAGCTGAATTCTTATTTGGAACCTTGAAGCTGAACTCCTATCGCTAAATCCTTAAACCCTCGCGCAGGCGAGCATCGACGCGCTCAGCCGCACGTTCGCGGAGCTGCACGGGCAGCTGCGCGAGGAGAAGGAGCAGCGGCGCGTCGACTTGGAGCACCTGACGCAGACGATTGGCGCTAAAGTGGAGGAGGCGCACTCGGGGCTGGACGATGAGCGCGTCGCGCGGCTCGAGCGCGAGGCGCAAACCCTGAAGCGCGTCGGCGAAGACGTCTTCCGCGTGCAGGTAAACCCTAAACCCCTGAGGTTTCAGACCGCAGGGTTTGTGTGATGCGTGTTGAGCCGCAAACGCGAAAAGCATTGCGCGGCTCGAGCGGGAGGCCCAAACCCTGAATTCCGTCAGCGAGGTGGTCCTCCGCGTGCAGGTAAGGTTGCTGCGGAAAAACAGCCAGATTCACTCTAATGGAAAGTTGCGAAGTGAGCGTCAAACGGGAAGTGCGCGGCGCAAAAGCTGATTTCTTAGCCCTGGAAATGTTTGGACGGCAGAAAATCTTACCGAAGCGTATTCGAAAAGCTCATGGGGCGGCTCGAGTATGAAGCGCGGTCGTACACCCGCGAATCAATAGCAGCGGGTCGAAGGTCACGCAGCCTTCATATTCAGCAGACACTTTTAGAATGGAAGCAAGCCATGAGGAATCCTTTGGACTTGTGAAGAATGAAAGATGTTTGAACTTATGAAAAATGAAAGATCTTCAAGATGCAAGAGACGGCGAGAGACTCTGAGCGATGAAGGAAGGAAGGTAGTTTGGGACTTGCGGTAAACTCCTCCAAGCCTTACGCGGCGATACGTGCGTTTGCAGGAGAAGATCGACGCTGAGCGCGCGACGCGCGAGGCCGCTCTGGAGATGATGCAACGCGAGGTGCGCGACTCGATGTCCGCGCACAACGAGAGCGAGGAGAGCTTTCAGCACATGGTAAGGAGGCGGAATCCACGAAGTCGCGAGTTGAACCTTGGGTCACCGAGTTTTGTTCTTGACGTACATGATGCGCTCTGCCACCAAAAAGCAAGGAACCTTCTCTTGTTCATTTTTTTGGATTTGAGCGGCGGTGAGTCTTCGTTCGTTTCAAGTCTCCAATTAGGTTACTTCTTTTGGTGTCACAGACGATCCGACCACAACTGGAGCTGCTTTTATTGCCTGAAAATTGAAGTCTGGATAAAGACAACGAGCTAAAATCTAATCTTCTCGTGTTGATCCAGGTTTTGGACGACATCGCAACCCTGAAGAATCAAATGCTCGTCGAGAGGGAGGAGCGCATGTCGGAGGACGAGCAGATTGTGCAGGCGATAAATGACTACACAAAGGCGCTCCAAGACGGCCTCAGGATAGTCAACAACTAGAGCGATCAGAATCCACAAGCGCGCTCAGCATCTTGGACTTCGAGCAAAAATCCGGCTCGAGAGCTGGTAGAAAGACCGATATTGATTTAGACAGGACTGTTTGACTGGAGTTGATACGTATTAAACTAGAGGGAGGACTTCAAGAGTGGATGGTTGTGACGCGCGCGTCAAAAGGCGGTAGAGAGGTTTTCGATGGTTGGCGGATGAGGACTGCCGGCGCCCGGTGTAATAACGTAGGATAAATAACTTCCTAAAATTAGCACAATTGACCTATTTGTACCCGCGTTGAGCATCTTTAGAAACAAAAAGCTCGTCATTTGACACCCGCGATCGATCCCGCAGCACAGTCAGGGGTTTCGCGGTACGCTTTCTATGCCGCTTCACAATCATGTAAGACTGCCAATCACCAACAACTTTCAGTTTGCATCAGGCATGGCGTAGCACATGCGTACCAATGGCGCGCGAAAATCTTTTAAATCGCTTCTCAAAAAACATGTATGGTCTGGCACTAGGGCCCTGATGACTCGGTGTGCAGTTATGAATGAAATCAACGGATATACAGAGCTTCGCTTGCCCATATGCCCAAACTATGCAATCATCAAGTCAACCTGGGTGATCGGATTCAAACCTGACCTCTAATGGACTGAGTAGCTGGGTTTCACGAGCCCTTAATTATTGACCATATGAAGATCCTGCGCCTGGCCATGGGCATCAACAGTGTTCACGATAAATGGCTCGGGCTCAGCTTCCAGGAAGTGCTGAGAAACTTCCAGTCATTGTGCCAAATCAACATTTTTAGGGGGGAAGGATCTGGCACGCATACAGGCCACACATCGAGTACGTGATCGAGCTGCAGATAGCACGTGGTCCAATACTTTTGCAATCTATCAATGCTGTTTCAGGCACGAGTCTGTCTCCACAAGCGCTTGGAAAGATATCCACGAGAAGCGACCCGTCAAGAGAAGCTCGCCCAGGAAACGGTTTTGATCAAAGAAGTCAGAACGTGTCGAAGGCATCATTTTTTTATTGCAGCAATTCGTATCCAGAAAATCTGTCTAGTTGAATTGACCTAGTGACGCAAAGGAGCTGCACCTGCCGACGCAAAGAAGAAGTACAACCTGTAATTTTGCGCAATTCTGTAAAATTCGCTACATGTCTTCGCCATAGGATTATCCATCTCAAATTGTCCAGATTTGTGCAGAATCGACCTGCTGTTGCTCAATGTCAAGTATCGTCTCTTCTCGTTTATCGGACACAGGCGATGCTAATTCCAGGTGTTATCGCCCCCGCCCTCTGCGTAACCCCCGGTGTCTCCGGCAGAGAAACCGTCGCCGCCGCTGGAGAAGTCAGCGCCTCCACCCCAAGCGTCCGCAGCAGCAGGAGTGGCGTCGAGTCCTCCGCCCCAAACGTCCGTCGCAGCATGAGGGGCGTCAAAGCCCCCGAATTCCTCGTCCGCAGGCGCGGGTGGGTCATATGCAGGCGCAGGAGGAGCGTCCGCAGCCGCTAGAGGGTCGTCCGCAGCGGCGGGAGGGGCATCCGAAGGCGCGGGAGGGGCGTCCGCAGGCGCTGGAGGGTCGTCCGCAGGCGCTGGAGAGGCATCCGAAGGCGCGGGAGCGGCTTCCGCAGGAGCGGGAATATCGTCGGCAGGCTTGAGAGGAGCGTCCGCAGGCGCGAAAGGGGCGTCCTCAGGCGCGGGCAGGACGTCCGCAGGCGCGTCCGCAGGCGCTGGTGGGGCGTCCGTAGGAGCAGGGGGACAGTCCGCGGGCGCGATGTGGGCATCCGCGGGCGCAGGAGGAGCGTCCGCAGGCGCGGAAGGCGCGTCCGCGGCCGCGCCGATGGGCAGGTCCTTGTATTCGCCTCCAGTCTGAAACGCGCCTTCGCTTCCATCCTCGAAGATCAGGCCCCCTCCGTTGCCAGCGGTGTTGTCGCATAAGTCTTCCGGATCGCCTCCGCTGGAGTGACTCGAGTGACTAGACTGGCGGGAGTGACTGGACTTGCTCGAGTGGCTGTGATGGCTGCCTTCGCCGAAACCGTGACCGCCGTGTTTGGGGTGTGCTGTGACCATGTGAGCGACTTGGTGTAGGGGATCTGCAAGATGCAGAAAGTGTTCGTATGACTTTCTTGTTGCCGACAGAAGGGCGTTGAAGGTATGCGGTAGCGAGCGGGACAAGCTTGTTTTCCCGTCCAATAGACTCCGATGGAGTACATCAAAACATATTCGGTAGATACAAAATGTTCGCAAAGCGTACCCTTGGCTCTGCTGCAGTCAAAGTCTTCAGAGATTGATCAACAGAGCCTGCAGTGTTGCACTTGTTCAGGTAGGGCTGAATTCCACTATTCGCAACCCGGTCCACCCCTAATGAAAGTCATCTGCTTTCATTAGAATGCAATCGAATATTCTTAAGGAACAGATGAATCCGAACCTGCGACTTTTGAGCATCTCTTTCAACCTGAACAAAGGTAGAAGGCAGGAAACCAAGGATTCATGTATACAAGCCAGATTGAGTTCCAAAGAGGAAATGCGATAGAGAGATGCCTACTCACCCCTTTTCTTCTTGCCGACATGTGGCTCTTTGTGGAGTCCAAGCTGCAAGAAGTGGAAACGGCGAGTTTCTTGGAAAAGTCAGGAAACATGTAGATAAGTCGACCGTGGCACACTTACGAAGCATGTGACTTCATCATCCGACAGATTTGGAAGTTCTCCGTGAACAAGCCTGGAATTCGCTTCTTGCGAACTTCTTCAGATCAAGTTCTTGTGATTTTTTATGCGCCTTTTTTAAAAACCATGGCTTCGTCCTTCTTTGATCTCGGACAAAATCAAATAGCAGCCCTGTCAAGCGGTCTTTCGCAGTTCTACAAATACAAGGGCAGCGCCTTTGTTTACCTCAGAGGGCTTCACAGCCCCAGCGATGATACTCAATGGGATCGTCTTCTCTTGAGTGTTGCCCTCGATAGGTTGTTCTACAAATGGAGACGCTATCTTGGTTTGGCACTCTTCAATTCCATGATGTTGCGCATTCAAGGTGGCAGCCTGTTCGTCTTTGACGGTCCCCGCAGGATCCTGCTCCTTTCTTTTCTTTTCACCACCGAAGGCCTTCTGAAGGACGGCTTTCGCCTTGTACTGCAGGAAGATCAGCAGATTAGCGAGTCAATTCAGCAGTCTGTAAGAATCAAGGCTAATAAAGACAGTCTGCGCGAAACAAAAAGTGATAAGTTGAACAAAACAATGATACTTTATCCCCTGATCCCCTTTAAACGGACTGGACGCGATTCTGAATCTGGACAGATCTGTATAGCTACGCTGGATTAGAAGAGCTTGCCGCTCTGCTAGGTCGTTACGCTGCATCTGGGGCCTTCACCCAAAACTTGACCCTTCGATTCCGCACAATCCATCGTTCATTGGGCTTGATCATTTTCTTACCTTGAACGAAGGTCTCGGATGATCAGCAGACTCCGACGTTTGAGGCGCTGCCCCACAGCAAGAACGCATGGCTGTGCACTGGGAAGAGCTGACTACAGCAGCTTTGCTTTTCTCGAAGTTCGATTTGTTCAGCTACAATCGCAGGCGCAGCAACAGGAAAGGGAGAAAGATGGTGATCTATCACGGCGGAATGCGAAGCTCGAAGGAGAATGACAGCCAATCTCGAAGGGAATGCTCGCAAGAGGTTTAAGTGCTTGTCATGTGACACACGCGCTGACTCTGCAAATAAGATCACCGTCTGCGCACACCTCGTATTGATTTTATGCGGGCCGCAGCAAGCGTGTGGCCTGTGGACCAGGCGAATTGCGGCCGCGCAGCGCGTGCGCGCGACTGGACCGTCCAGTCACTTGTTGAGGGGTTTACAACAAGTACCTTGCCACGCGGCCGTGCCCTAGTGCAGATCGCGGCCGCAACTAGCGGCCGGTCGGACGATGGTGGCGCAGCCTGGCGCGGCCGCACAAGCTTCACGATTGAGTCACTGGGCCGGGTGCGCTCGCAGCTATGCGACGCGACTAACGCTCGCTTCGCGTTCACAATTCGCGGAAGCCTACAACGGATTCTCGTTATGCATGAGGAGCTGTATCCTATACGATACGAAGATTAATGCTCCCGACCTCCTCCCGCTCCCATGTGTTAGAAGTATTTGCGCACTGCCACTCGGGCTACACTGGCGCCAGTGTGGCCCGAGTGGCAGTGCGCAAATACTTCTAACATGTTAGAATATTGCCAGTCTAGTTACTGAGACAGTAGCTAGGTCCAGTCAGTAGTCTTCGTACCGTACGATGATGCTAAGATTGACTACGACCGTCGATATGACAAGTAGAGGGAAACCGTGTAGGAGAAGATCTATGCCGTGACCCTGAGAATTTCATTCGTAGTGAATCCTCCTCCACGACAAGTCGCCTTCTCTCTTACGAGCGCTTCTCTGCACATGGTTTCATGGTGTCCATGCACGAGCCTGCAATAGATGCTTCTATAGACGCTGCAATCTAACAGGTTATGGGCCCACCATCACACGGATGGTGAAAGAAGCTCTTAGAAGGAAAGCTGTTAGATGTCATTCTGATTGGTTTGGTTTGGGGCCGGTCACAGCAAGGCTCATTTTTGAGAGTGCTGTGGGAAAGGCTTGAGGGAAATTCCCAACCACCTTTCAGCTCTCCCTGGGGAGGGCGTGGCATAAATTTCCTTGAGCTTAGGAGAAGCAGCAGGTTCAGAATTCCTTCGAAGGGAGGCAGCACTTCAGTATCCGCGAAGAAAGCGGATAGAGTGAGCTCCAACAGGAAGGAAGATGGACACCAATGAGAAGATTCACATTGAGAAGCTGAAGGGAGCAGAGAACTATCAGACCTGGAAGGTGCTGATAAAGCTTCTGCTGACTGAGAAGGGTCTCAAGAAGACGATCGATCCTGAGACCAGGTCAAGCGAGGAGTTGGCTGCAAGGACTGCAGCAGTGAAGGCAAAGGAAGAAGAAGATCAAGAGAAGGCTCTGGCAGCAATTGGTCTTCGAGTGTCTTCAGAATTCCTTGGGATCATCACAGATGCTGATGGATCTGCAAGAGCAGCCTGGGAACAATTCTCAAGGATGTTCCAGTCTGTGACAAATGCAAGAAAGATGATGCTCAGGGAGAAGCTGGCATCACTGAAAATGGAGAGTGGAGAATCAGCAGCGAAGTATGTTGCTAAAGCAAAGGACCTCAAAAGAGATTTGCTGCAAGCAGGTCTAGACGCTGGAGACGTAGATCTTGCTGCTGCATGTGGTTTGTCCAGGTCCTACAGGGAGATTAGGATGGCACTAGAGCTGCAAGAAAAAGCTATCTCCCTGGATGAAATGCTTCCTCTCCTCCTCCAGCATGAAGCCAGACTCGAACGTGATGAGGAAACAGATCATGGAGAGTCCTCCAGTTCAATGGCCTTCGCGAGCAAAGGCTTCAAGCAGCATGCGGGGAAGTCTCAGAGCAGAAGACCAGGTCCTAAGTGCTGGACGTGCGGAGAAGAAGGTCACAGATCCTCGGAGTGCTCTCAGAACAGAGACAAGGACGAGGAGTGCAGGAAGTGTGGACTGAAAGGCCACATCGCAAGGAACTGCAGAAAGAGAGATTCGGGCGAAGGAAAGAGTGGAGAAAACAGGGACAAAGGGACGAGGAGATCCATGGTGTTTGCCTGTCCTCCAGAAACAACTCTCTCAACACTCTGGATTCTGGACTCTGGAGCAAGTGCTCATCTCTGCTGTCAAAAGGAGATGTTCTCAGAGCTCAGGGAACTCAAAGGTGGCGAGGCAGAGGAGATCCAAGGGGTTGGAGATGCAGTCAGAGTGGAGGGCATTGGGAAGGTGCCTCTGATTTGCAAGACCGAAGAGGGAGAGATGACAGAGGTCATTCTCGAAGGAGTCAAGTTTGCTCCTCAGGCGCAGGTCAATTTGGCAGCACTTGGCAAGTTTCTCAGCAAGGGAGCAACTCTGCACAGCGAAGGAAGCGTGGTCAGCCTGAAAATGGAGGGAGAAAAGTTCCTAGAAGCGGAGAATCAAGATGGAGTGTCGGTCATCAGGACAGTTTCGCAGAAATCTCTGGCCTTTGCAATCACTCAAGCTGATGAGGGAAGACTGTGGCACAGGCGCTTTGGTCATGCGAGCTGCGAAATCCTGGCGAAAATGGCGCAAGATTCTCTCGTTGAAGGACTCCCCCCAGCAGCAGCCTTCCGAAGAGCCGGCGAAACCCTCTGTGAAGACTGCGTCCTCGGCAAGCAAACTCGGAAACCCTTCTTCCCCAGTAACCGTCAAAGTCAGAACCCCCTCGATCTAGTTCATACGGACCTCTGCGGTCCGATGCAAACGACGTCAGCCGGGGGCGCTCGCTACGTCGTCACTTTCATAGACGACTACAGCCGGTGTGGGACGGTGCAGCTGCTAAGAACCAAGGAGCAGGCGAAGCAAGCCCTGGAAGCTTACGTCAGCTGCGTGGAAAACCAACTGGGGAGAACGGTCAAGAAAATCCAGAGCGATAGGGGCGGAGAGTACTGGAACGGGGAAGTCAAGGCGTTCTGTGCGCGCAAGGGGATCATCCATCAGAAGACCAATCCCTACTCGAGTCCGGAAAACGGGGTAGCGGAACGGTTGAATAGGACTCTGATGGATAAGGTGCGCGCGATGCTGTCTGAGAGCGGATTGATACAGAAGTGGTGGGGCGAAGCGGTTCTGACTGCGAGCTACGTCAGGAACCGGACGGCGACCAAGACGCACGGGAAGACCCTCCTGGAGCTCTTCTTCGGGCAGAAGCCAAGTGTGAAGGAGCTCCGCGTCTTCGGTTCCAAGGCCTACGTCCACACCCCCGCTCAGAAGCGAAAGAAACTCGATCCTGTCGCGAAAGCCGGCGTCTTCCTCGGGTACGAACCAGGAACCAAGGGGTACCGGATCCTGCTGACGTCAGATCAGAAGACCGTGCTGATCTCGCGTGACGTCACGTTTGACGAAGCGGAACGGAAGGACCCCGAGGGAGCGGAAGCCTGGGAAGACCCTCCGCCTCTGCCGTCAGTCTCGTCTGAGCCCGTCGAGCCTGAGGGAGAGAATGAAGAGGCGGAAACGGAAACCCCAGAACCGGAGCCGGAGAACGGAACGGAAGAGGGGAGCGGAACGGGAGAAGAGAGAGCGGAACCGGAAGCGACGGGAAAGAGGGAGAGAAGACCGAGTCAGCGCTACCCCTCGAACGACTGGGTAACGGCAAACCTCGCAAAGGAGACGGCGGAACCGGTGGAGCCGAAAACCCTGGAGGAAGCGCTAAGCAGCCCGGAAGCCGCATTTTTGTTAGAAGTATTTGCGCACTGCCACTCGGGCCACACTGGCGCCAGTGTAGCCCGAGTGGCAGTGCGCAAATACTTCTAACACACCCAACACCCAAAGTTCTCCATTTCTTAAACATTTCGTTGAAATAGTAAAGCTATTGCGAGCGAAAGCGAACTCGAAACTCACAACATGTCGCTCTCGAACATATCAATTCTTGACGTCTACGTCTAGATTGAGCTCGAAGAGAGCGACAAGATCAAAATTGAGTGAGCGAAGCGAGCTATAAAACGCTTCTGAGCAGCGAAATGTTTCATTCCAAAGAATCAAGAACCGCTAGCGCCTTCCCTCCGCCAAACAAGCCCTTCCAACTTAGCACGCTTTCAATCTCGCCCTCCCCCCCCCGCCCTCAGTATCATTGCTCGCTCGATTCGCCTAACTCAAACCCGAGCTCCCCAGATGTTGATTTTGCGTCGAAGAGCTGCACCCAACACCCAAACTTCTCCATTTCTTAAACATTTCGTTGAAATAGTAAAGCTATACGGAGGTTACGAGACAGATATCGATGCACGCAAAAGATAGTCCTTCCGCGCTCAGAGTACCCCAGTCCCACCCCGGGCGTCACGGAGGCGGGCTCTATAAAAGGCTCGGGCAGCGCAGACTTTCGCATTGAGAAAAACACTGCTATCCGTGCAAATTTATCAAGTCGAAGTCGACCTCAATTAGACCATCATCAACCATGCGGCGTCAGCGACAAGAGTGGCCGTGGTGAGCATCGTTACGTCAGCTCATCGCAGCAAACGTCATCAGAGCCGCAGCACTAACGGACGCTTTAAGTGGAAGCAACTAACGCCGTTATGAACTCGCAAAAGAAAAAACCCCTTGACCAAGGCATGAAAGACAGCAGTTTTTTCAATCTCCAGAAAGAAACGCTGGCGGCAAAAGTATCCCAGTCTTGTGGAGTCCCATTGAGATGACGTCCCTCAGACTTCCAGCCTTCTTTCAGTCCCGCCTGGCAGAAACTAACTCTTGGGTGCGTGCTAATGGTTTCTGTAAGGCGTGCCGTTGGTTTCGCTAACAGAAGGACGTTCATCTCGACAGACCGACTTATTTGCGGCACAACAAGCGGCTGCCCGCTTCGCTATGATAAGAGGGTTACTGAGAGGGAAACAAAAAACAAATGCACCGTAGAATATCTCTTGCTGGAAAATGGAGTCTTCTCAATCCGCACTGCAGGCTGAACCTAAAGAGCACGGGTAGGTTCCGTTCCTTGAAACAGCAGGCACTAAGAGCATACGGAAACGTTGGCTCGACGTACTTTCCGGTTTCTCGACAGCTAGACGGACTTCTTCAGCGCTTCAGACGGGATGGATCCATCGTGTGATCGTCTTGACGAGATACTTCCAGCGGCACAATCAGATTTACGCGGTCCGAAAAGTAGATCCTCTCAAAAGCAGACAATCTCTACTTCTTGCTCCGCTCAGAAAGAACCTCGAACCATCGGATCTAGAACGTCACGGTTCCCATGCGTTGTCAGCCGGGCCAGCGGGCCTAACCAAAGGCACGAAGAAGCAGCCCGCAAATTGTTTCTACCAACTTGAAATCATAATTTTGACCTCCGTTGTCACACAAGGGGGCTCTCTGGGGGCGCATGCACCGCTTGGAGACATGCCCATTGGCGTACTGCTAGCCCACTACATCATAGCCATCCTAGGATTGCCCGGCCGTGCTGTTGTCGAAAGACCCGGTAGGGGAAGACGGGAGCCTCCGCCAATATCATCTGTCCAAGCAGCCGGCAAGAGAAGGAAAGAGAAGGAAACGATGAGGCATAACTAGGAGCATACACTGCAGAGCCCATTCTCGATTCTCGGACTACCCGAACGCAGCTGAGATCGGTGTCTAAAGGTGCATGGGTGTCCAACTTGTAAGAAGCTGATAATAAAATTGGTAATCCGTAGAGACGAGGAGAGTTACTTGACCAGAAAAGCTCGTCTTAATTGTGTAGCTGTCATGGTCTCAGACCTGAGCTCGTAGCTCAGGGGTCTCGAGCTTCTCAATCATTGCTAAACAGAGTCGTTGTTTCCAAAAAGAGCAGTAAACAAAGTAGGAGTTGGCACAAACCTTGACGGAAAGAGCGTAGAAGGGAGAACTTGACGAAAGCAGCATGGGAAGCTGAGCTTTTAGAGTAGGGAGTAGATTGAAGGCTCAGCCGAACGTGCGGCAAAGATATGAACCTTTAGCATACACCAAGAGGAGAAGAGGTTTAATTGCATCTAATGCATCTAAGAATATTGAACTGTCATTTACAACGCGCTTGCCACGAGCAAAGGATTCATGCTGTATAGCACGAGATAGATGCTGACGCCAATATTAGCTGGATGACTCTGAGTCATGAGCACTGGCAGATAAGCAAACATAGCCGGACGTCAAGCAAAGGACTCTGTTACTGGAACGTAGAGTCTCGACGCCACCTCCTCAAACGTCATCCTTGATTATCTGTACATGCACACGCCATCAGGAGCGCTGAGGTCCTATGGATTGAAGATTCTGACCTGAGCACGTTAGCGGCCTCTGAGAGGACCATGAAGAGTCTAGGTGGATCGTGTAGACCAAACCCACCTCCTGCAATCGTCACAGCCACCAGTGTGAGCGGGAAATTAGGAGAACTTAGCGAACACAGCCAGCTTATGATGGAATTGAAAGGAAAGAATTTATTTCTTGAGTACCTGGTCGTGTAGATTTTATCATCACGGAACGATGCGCCGACCAAGGGGTTTATGAACGGAATGCTGATTCCTCTGGGCGCTGTGTGGGCAACCCAAGGGATGGACACACCCTAACACTCACTGCTCACTGCCAGCATCTGTTAACACTTTAGAGTCGCAGTAAAACCTGGTTGAAAGCATTCTGAGCGTAATTCCATGCCGTGTAGTGATTCTTTGGGCCCCTTGGCAGAGCTCAGGCGCAAGCCCACGACACCCAGATCTGGCGACTACAGTAATGCCACGTATGAGAGAGGCGGGCAGGATGACCAGGTAAGAAGCTGTGAAAATAGACCTTTTTGTCTCAAAACGTCCTTTGACAAACCTCATAGACCGGACCCTTCATGGATCCAGAGCAGAGACCGACGATGATCGGAAAAACCTACGGGCCTCTATGAGGGAGCGGTTGGCTGCAAGACGTTCGACCTGGCTTCCGCTCAGATCTGCATCTCCGTGATTGACGGATATTCGGGAATGCGGAACATTTAGATGCAATCAGTCGATCAGTGCAAAAAGCCTCAAAGATACAAAGACTTCTGAAGTCTGCAGGTCACAACCATTTTCTTTGAATGCGTAAACGGGTCAAGAAAATGAGCAGAGTCCCCAAAGCCTAAGCCAAAGCCGAAACAGAGTTAGAAACTTGCGGTCGCAAAGCGGCTCATCTGCGACCATTATCCTTGTCAACATTCTGACAGGCCAAGTGTCTGTCATAGCCGGTCCTCATGCAGCAGCACTTCGTGTTGGGATGACAGAACACTTCTCAGAACGATCGTGAGAGGGTTGAATGCCACGAAGCGGTTTTGTACCGAACCTAACCCAAAAACCTGACACCTCGAGCAAGCTAACATGAAAGGGTTTGAAACCAGGCTAGCTTGCGGCAGAAACAGGAGTTTCACAGCCATGCCCAAGCGAGAGATAGAACTGTGAAGGATTCAAGGGACGAGAACATGTGGCGAAACACGAGCCACTTTGACGTTGAGACCATTGAGTTGGGGTCCAATAGGAGAGCGCCCACGACGATAGCTGTCAGCAGGAGACTGGACGAGACGCCGGAGATGGCGATGCCGGTGAGGCGGGAGAAGCCGCGGACCCAGATGGACGGGAGGACGGCGGCCAGGCTGCCGAGAATCACGGAGTGCCTTCAAGGAGAGACTGACACGATTCCTCTAGAGATCTCAGAACCAGACTACCGGACAAGATGAGGAAAGCTTTGGAATCCAACCTCGAGAGCACAAGACTTCGTGAGAACTTTCTCCCTTGTCGTTTTGCAGTTATAAAAGCCTGGTGTCTTCTCGGCCGACGTCAGGACCAGGGTAGCCGCGATGCGTCTCGAACGGAGGCATCCAAGGGCTTTTCACGGTCCAGCCTTCCGAAAGTGACCCCATCCATGGGTCCTCAAGTCAAGGTTGATGAGACAAGCTTGGTGCGCTCTTTTGGTCAGACAAATATGGCAAAGAGTAACACAATTCCTTAGTGGCAAGCAAAGCAGGGGCAGGGTACGAGCAACTTCGTGGCAGTTCCACAAAGGTACATGCCAATCTTCTCGGGACGAAATTCAGATCATCAGAAATTCAAGAGCCAAAACAAATATAAGGGAGGCGCAATACCGAGGTGATTGATGACTGTAAAAGTGGCTTCGGGGACGGGAAACTTTGAGGCGGTCAATGAGCAAGAAGCTCTTGGTGTCGGCTCACTCACGGCCAATGTCCACAGGAGCTTGACAAAGTGCGCAAGGAAGATAATCAAAGGCACGCAAGATGATATCCGGCGGAAAGTATGAGAAGCGAAGAATCATTGATGTGCAACAGTTCACAGAAACAGAGATGTGTCAGCCAACTGCGTGCAACGAGCTCGAAGATTGATCACCAGACCGGATAATGTCGGCGTCCGCGGGTCACCCGGTTCCTGTGAGCAATCGATCGCTCAATAGCTCCTATCTTCATAGCCTCTCTTAAAGCTTCTACCAAAAATGGACTTTTACATGGCCGTTTCAAAGCCGTCTTGCGCGCCCTGAGGAACTAACTACGATACCTCGGATCAGTCGCACAGCCCAAGAGAATAGACAACTACAAAAGCAAACGCTGATCCAAGTTTTGTGGCTAGGCCCCGCGAAGCTGATGCAAAATAATAAATGTACGCCGCTTTGTAACATACACAAATCAGGAATATCCTCGCTGCAGCTCATTGGCTCATCCCCCAACGTCCAACAACTTCGACAAAGTCGATGGGGACGCCTTCCACATCGTTCAAAAGGATTGTGCGACCCTCAACCATGACGTCGGGGAGTAACGGCTCGCATTACACCAACTGAGCAAACAAGCTCATGCATAGCGCCTATCATGACAAAAGTGCGAGATACTACGCGAGTCCGGAAACCAAGAATTTGTAAGAGGCTTACATGCGCAAGCAGACGTTCGACACAAATCGTACGAGACGCACTTCCTTCTGTCGTAAACGCAATTAGTGTTCGGGGCGTGCGAGTACAACTGATTGCAAGGCGAGTCCGTCTTAACGTCTGTGGAAACGCAGATGCCCCCGAAGCTAGCGCATGTCCAATTTTTCAAAGCCGACGCGATCGAGAAGCCAGTAAAGAAGCCGCACTGCGCAAAAGAAGGCGCTCGACTGTACCTCTTTGAGTTGTACCGTATGCTTCCTTTCATGACGGAAGACAAGGTCAGACTAGCTGGTGACAGGAACAGTACGAGGGAAGAACTTATGCCACCGCTTCAAAGTGGGGCAAGAGTCCCCAATGGGAGCGGCTCAGAGCGGCTAGAGAGGGGTGAGCTGATAATCCCAGCCTGCAAGTTTTCATAGCCACTGGTAGCGGGGAATGGTGCGTTTGGCAGGACCAGAAAGAGCAGACTCGTGTCATCGGCACGGGCACGTGTCCGTAATACAGAAAGAGACTGCGAAAAAGCTGGACAAGGGTTTTGAGCATCGGAACGGGACGCTGTCATTCTTTTGCAAAACATTGCCCCATGGTTCCGGGCGGGCAACGTCTTTGTTCACAGGGACAGTGTTAGAAGTATTTGCGCACTGCCACTCGGGTCACACTGGCGCCAGTGTAGCCCGAGTGGC